CCCGGAAAAGTGAGCAGCCGCTGGACTGCTTGGCAGTTTCTCAAAGAGGCTGCCATTGTCTTTGGCAGAAACAGCCTGGGCGGTGGCCCTTTGAGCGTGAGCTGCTGGGACTGCGTCTAGGTCTGGGACTCGGTCAGTGTCTGTGAGAGGGGGCCAGTGGAGGAGTACGGGGAGAGGAAAGTCCTCCATCTGGTCATTTTCATCTTGCAGAACCTGTGGTTTTCATTATTCCTCCCGGGGAGGGGTGGGGGCCCGTGGCTGGCCCAGTGGCATTTCTATTAAATAAGATCAAGTACTTGGAAACAGAATGGGAGACACCCAGAGGTGGCTTATCATTATCAGAGCATAGTCTGCAAAAGTTAAAAACACAACTTTTACGTAAAAGGAAAAAAAAAAAAAAAGCAAAAGAACACCCGTCAACACATTTCTTTTAACTCTTTAGTGAGGGGACCCGCAGGATGGCAAAGCCAAAGGGTTTGCTGTCACTGAATCAGGATTGCAAAGTTCGATACAGGGCTGTATAATGTCCTCTGGGGCCACAACACTGCCGTCTCTGGGAGGTTGTGTCTTCTGGTGGATAAAAATCATTTACAGTGTGTCCATCTATGAGATGACATCGGACTCCCTGGGAATCTAGGCGCTGGTAGGAATAGTAACTCAATCCCAGGTATTTTTCCCTGAGCAGGGACTGGCCAGCCATCCAGCCCCTTGCCTGCTTCTCGTAAAGTTTTATCGGGTATAGCCGCGCCAGTGTGTACGTGCACGTGCACGTGTACGCGCACGTGCACGTATCTTCTTTGGGGCTACTTTGTGACCCTTCGCAGAAAAAGCTGGCCAGGGGCTCTGCTGGGGAATGAGACAACTCTCAGGTGGGCTCCAGCATAAAATTGGAAACTCCTGTTGTCAGTTTCCGGCCCTTGTGCAAGTGTTGAGTATTTTTTCTTGGCATTGTGTAGGCCGGAAGGCTTATGTGTTTGGGAAGTTTTTGTTGGGTCTTTGCTATTGCTACTTTTGAACTCAAGGGCTGACCCTCGGACACAGCTCCAGCCCAGGAAATAGAGCCCTTCCTGTTCTCACATGTGCCTTCCCAGAGGGTAGGGTCTTTGTGGGTCCTAGATAATTGTCTGCCTTGAATATTGCTTCCTGCTATTGAGCCTCCGCCCTTGGTCCTGCACACCGATCATTCATAACAACGACGATCATAATAATAGGACCCGTGGTGGCCAGCTTACAGCAAACCTACACGTTGATCAAAGAATCCTGCACTGGGGCACCTGCATGGCTTGGTGGTTGACCATCGGACTCTTGATCTTGGCTCAGGTCTTGATCTCAGGGTCACGAGTTCGAGCCCTACGTTGGGCTCTGTGCTAGGCACGAGTCTACTTAAATAAAAAAAAAAAACCAGAACAAACAGCCCCCCACCCCCCCGCCCAAGAATCCAGTGCTTTATCCGCATCATCTTGTTGAGTTGTGAGACATTAAGGGACCATTATCTCCACTTTACAAACCAGAAGACTGAGGCTGTTGCTTCTTTAAGGAAATCTTGATGGTGTGCCTGTCTGGTGGTGGGTGCTGTGTTGCCCAAGCTGAGGGCAGATTGCTTCTTCCTTGATGCGTGGACCCTGTGGATGGCCACGGTGATTCTTTATATCGGGAATAATCAGATTCAGAGCCCAGAGACCTACGGTTTCACTTTGGCCCTGCTGCTTCTCCAAAGGCCTGTGGTCTTATTTCTGTGAAATGGAGACACGTCCTTGTTCTCTGCTCCTCTACTGCTTACTCCTAACCCTGCTGGAGTCTTTGTTAGAATTAAGTGAGAATCTAATGGGTAATATGTAATCCCTAAAAAACCTACACAGACCTTCTCCCATTACCTGCCTTGCTCCTGTTACAGCTGGTTTGTTCTATCTGGGTCCATGGCGTAAAAAATCAGAATATGCCCCATGCATAGATGCTCCAAGTTTTGCATTTGTGTGTAGATTTTCATGGTATTTGTGGAGCCCCTGTAATGGGGGGTTGGATCGTGGGTGCATCCTTGAGCCAGTGGCTAAAAATGGGGTACTTGGACGTACTCCAAAGTCATTCCTTTTCCTCCTCTCTAATCAGAGGTGTCCCAACGAAACTCCAGCTGGTGCACGCCCCGTCTTAGGAGTGGTTGTTCTAGGAGCTGGTGCTGTGAATGGTGCAGACACAGCCTGTCCTCCAGCCTTCCCTTTAGACAGACAGTCAAAAAACAACCAGACTAATTTTTGAGAGTGATAAATACTATAGGATCAGATAATGTGTTAGAACATGGTTGAGCTGGGGGGAAGTAACTTCCAGTGGGGAGGTCAGGGAAGGTCTTTTCTAAGGTGCTGGGACCTGAAGGACAAGAAGGAGCCAGTCATGGGAGGACAGTGGGGAGGGCCCTCCCGCCAGCTGGAACAGCAGATGCGAAGGCCCTGAGGTAGAAGTGTGTGTGTGTGTGATGTGAGCAGCAGTGGGGGTGGGATTGGGGAGCAGGAAGAAGACCCAGATGGCTGCTGCCTGGGGCTGGGAGAAGGACTCCGAGAGGCCAGCAGGCTAGACCACAAGAGACCTCTGGGCCTTGGCAAGGAGTTTACTCTCATTCTCTAATCCTCTGGTATCGAATGCAAGAGCCAGTAGCTACCAGTGGCTGGTGAAATTAAAACTGGAATACAAAGAAAGATTTAGTTCCTCAGGAGAAATTGGAACCGTTGTGTCCTCTTGGTGGGAAAGTAAAATGGTGCAGCTGCTGTGGAGAACAGTATGGCGGCTCCTCAAAAAATTAAAAAGAGAATTACTCTGATTCAACAGTTCTGCTTGGGTGTACATCCAGAAGAATTGAAAGCTGGGTCTTGAAGGTCTTCGTGTATCCATGGTCTTAGCAGCATTATTCTCCATGCCGCAGAGGTGAAAACAAGGCACGTGCCAGTTGATGGATAAATGAATAAATAAAATGTGGCATATACACATCGTCAAATGCTATTCAGCCTTAAAAAGGAAAGAAATTCAGACACCTACTACAGCACGGATGGATCTTGAAGACCTTACAATCTAGTACATCATTTCACTCCCAGGAGGTCCCCAGAGTGGATGGTGGGAGCCAGACACTGGGTGGGTCTTGGGGAGTCAGTGTTTTTTTTTTTTTTTTTTTTTTTTTAAAGATTTTTTTTTTTTATTTGACAGAGATCACAAGTAGGCAGAGAGGCAGGCAGAGAGAGAGGGGGAAGCAGGCTCCCCGCTGAGCAGAGAGCCCAATGCAGGACTCGATACCAGGACCCTGAGACCATGACCTGAGCTGAAAACAGAGCCTTAACCCACTGAGCCATCCAGGCTCCCGGGGAGCCAGTGTTTAGAGACAGAGTTTCGGTCTGGGAAGATGTGAAAGTTCTGGAGATGGGTGGTGGGGATGGGTGTGGGACAGTATGAGTATACTTTGTACTGCTGAGCTGTGCCCTTAAAAATGGCTAAGATGGTCAATTTTATGCTTCGTGTATTTTGCCACGATTAAAAAAAATTAGTTCCTCATTGCATTAACCACACACAAGAGCCACAGGGGAGAAGTGGCTGCTGTGTTGGACAGCGCAGCTGGACAACGGTCCTGTCCTTGTAGCAAGTTCCATCAGACAGCGCTGCTCCTGTGTGAATGCGGCTCCAGGCGCCCCTTCTGTTTCCTGGAGCCTGTTTTGGGGGCCCAAAGTTGCTGCAGCAAAATGCCTGAGGGCTTGGGGTCAGTAACACTCCCAGCTTCCGGACTGTGTTTCAAGCCGTGCAGAGTGCATGAGCAAAGAAAGCAACTCCCAGAACGGGGCAGTGCCATGGCCGATGTCCGTCCGGCCTCAGGGAAACCATTTGTCTATGGACAGATTTGCTGACAGCCTGGACAGGGAGGCCTGATGCTGAGGGACCGAAATCAAGGGGTGGTCAGGAAGGGATGAGTAGTGAGACGTGGGGAAAAAGGGGATGGGTCACAAGCTGTTGCCGGAACTGGGGGCAGAGTCCAGCATTTGGTGGACAAGTTCATTGCGGGGGACCAGAAACTCCCCTGGCCACGAGATCAGAGGGAAGCCTCTGGTGTCCCCATCGGTGGGACCTTCTGTTTTCTTCCTGTTCATTATCTCCTTCAGGTTGCAGCAGACACGTCTCCTCCCCTTACTTCCAGCCCCGTGCTGTGGCTTATATGATTGCGCCAGTTTAAGTAATGAACCTGCCTCCTCCATTGGACCCTGTGCTCTGGAAGGAGGGGCTGCGGCCACCTTGTTCCTTGTTCCTTGGCTGGAGCATCTAGATTGGGGCAATCAGGTGTCTATTGAAGTGACAAATGACCTTAGGGTAACTTGCTCCACCTTCTCGTGCCGTGGTTTCCCCATCTGTAACACGGAGGCAGCGGCTCTAACACCATGTCTGTGCACACAGATACCGCAGAAGCCTGCTAGAACAAGCTTGTGAGACCTGACTGTCGGGTTTTCAGGACAGTTGTCAACTATTAAAGAAACCGTTATGAAATGTACATGATACAGACTTACCGTGAACAAATCACCTTAAAAACAAAAGCAATAAATACTCAGAACTCACTGCTTCTGATCGCCTCGCCACGTTTTTTGATTAGGCTCTTGGGTTATTTGCTACTATTGTAGTCATTCGGTGGAGAGGCTGCTGAAGGCTGGGCTGCTCGGTGTCTCTCATCAGCTCCCTGTTGAGCAGCATTTTGTTGGTAGCTTTGGATGGCCCGAGGAGCGGGTGTTTACACCAGGGCGATGTGCAGGAGCTGTGAGTCAGAGCCTGTCTGCCTGCCTGTGGTCTTACACACTTGCAAGCACACCGCTGGCCGGGGGTAGTGGGGCTGACTTGGGTTAACAGTCACGCCTGGTGTAGAGCGAGTACTGTAGAAGGGAGACCGTGGCTGGTTTTCTTTCGCTTGGCTTGCTGTCCCTCATCCAGACTTGCCGTCTCTGCGCACGGCCATTGCTGACCGGCTGTTTCCTCTCTCCCTCCAGTTTGTCCCACCATCTGCAAGTCGCACGGCTGCACCTCGGAGGGCCTTTGCTGCCACAGCGAGTGCTTAGGCAATTGCTCCGAGCCCGACGACCCCACCAAGTGCGTGGCCTGTCGCAACTTCTACCTGGACGGCAGGTGCGTGGAGACCTGCCCGCCCCCCTACTACCACTTCCAGGACTGGCGCTGTGTGAACTTCAGCTTTTGCCAGGACCTGCACAACAAGTGCAAGAACTCCCGGAGGCAGGGCTGCCACCAGTACGTCATTCACAACAACAAGTGCATCCCCGAGTGCCCCTCTGGTTACACGATGAATTCCAGCAAGTGAGTCCCGGGTGCAGCTTCTGGGAGGGTGGGGGGAGGCATGGAGGGGGCGGGCGGCATCTGCTAAAACTGTGAAAAACCAGAATTAACTGGCATCGAGCGAGGAGGAGGCTGCCGAGTAGTGATCTGCCTGGGTCTGTCGGAGGCCATCTCTGCCTCCTGGTTTGGTCCTGGCCTTTGGAGCAGGGAGTCGACGAGAGAGTGAGTATTTTCCCATCTTCTGCACTATTTTTTTTTTTCCTGCACCATTTTTAAAGTTTTTCTGTGCTTAGCTTGGGGGAACAGAAGACAGAAAGACAAGGAGTCCTTGGTTCCCCCCCTTTGCATGGACAGGACTTTCCCCAGTGTTACAGCTGAGGGCAGAGCTGAGTTTTTTAGGTTTTCTGCCTGCTGGAGCCACTTAGTATGGGGAGATTAGCCTGGAGCGCAGGGAGGAAGAGACTCTGGATTGTTCTAGACTCTTCCCAAGACTTTGGTGCAATTTGAAGGACAGCACCGTCCAGCCGTTCCCTAGTGTTCGGGTGAGGAATATGGTGTGAGTCAGACTTCCTACACACATCACAGGCTTTTTGTTCATGTTGTTAAGCTTTTTAGATGAGCTATTTCGGTGTCTCAGGGCTGTAACCAAGTTTGAAAAATCTGTTTCCTGGTTTTTGTGTTGAGGGTTTGGGAAAAAAAAAACCAAAAAAAAAACAAAACCCACCCCACGAAACAACAAAAAAAACCAAATCAGAAACAGACGCACGTCAAGGGGCCTTGAGCTGATCTGCTTACGTAAAAAAATCTTCCTCTGCGGACTTGAGAATTAGCCAAGCGAACGTGTTCTGGTGGGAAATTTTATTTCCCCGGGTGGAGTGGGTGGGAAGGAAAACAATCTTTATTTCGGTTCCTATGAGCCTCTCTCTGAGTGTTTGTGAAACCTGCAAGTACAACATGTTTTGTTTTACTTGTTTTTGATAAAACCTATCAAGTGGCTTTGTTGACCAAAAATAGGCTTCTATAAATCACCTTTGCATGCCAGACAGAGCCTTTTTTTTTTTTTTCCCCCTGGCTAGTTTATCAGTCAGGTTGGGAAAATGACCATATTCCTTTTGATTCATTTCTGTTTTTTGTTTTTTCTCCATGTTTGAAATAAAACATGGATATTAACGTCTTCTGGCGAGATGTTTGTTTAAAAGACACTGGCTTTAAATAAAAGGTATTTTTTTTTCCCCTTGACCGTAACTGAGACCTGAGATGGAGAGGAGATTTCTTTGATGTGCTTGCTGATGGGGCAGCAACCCCTCAAACCCAAACCCTGGGAAGCTGGCAGCCTGTCCTGTGATGTCTGGGACCTTTACTGAGGGAAGAAAGGCAAAGTGAGGAATGCCAGTTAGAACTTGCCATAGCAATATTTTACTTTGTTGGTTAAAAAAAAACAAAAACAAAAACAAACATTAGCTTTCCTTCCAAAGCTTTTCTTCCAGAGCTTTTATTTGCTGAAAGACTTTAGTGCTCTCATTTTCTAATGTGGTTTGATACCAAATAGAACCAGATAGGTTTATCTGGGAAATGGTTTCTGATGGTTTTGGAACAGAGGTCTGGGAACCCATGTGATTCATTAGAAAGCCTCACAAAGGTGACTTTGAGGTTCCTGGTGGGAGCACCGGGGTGCTCTTTCCTGGGATGAGGAGGGCTTGATCTGTGGGATGAATGTTAGAGTGTGGTGGGTGTGGGGCATCCCTGTCTCCCCCCACCCTCCAACAATGATCTTTGCCAGCCATACAGGTCCCAGCTGAAAAGCCCCTTCCCTATTTGACTGCCCCATCTGAATGAGTGTGCAGCCACTCCTTGGCACATTGCACAGTTTTCACTCTTTTCCCAGCATTTACCGCTAATTGCTATCTTAAGTGCCTTTGCCACCTGACTGTAGGTTTCACGGTGTATCAGTGAGCTCTGTCTGTGTAACAAACCTCCCAGCACTTAGAGACTCAAGACAACACTCATTTCTGGTTTGTAATGATTTCTGGGGTTGACCGGTGGTTTGTCCAGCCTGGGCTGCACCTAGCCTCTCCTATCTGGAATGGGCGGCTGAGGCCTCTCCCGGTGTGGTTTCTTAGCCCAGCAGCCAGCGAGGGCCTGCCCCAGTGTGCACGTACTTATCGACCCTCTGTTTGCATTAAATTTGTTAACGTCCCATTGGCCAAAGCAAGTCATGTGGGCAAGCCCAGATTCTCTGAATGGGGAGTATGCGCCCTTCTTGTTGGGATAGGCTGCAGACAGCTTGTGGCCTTGTAATCTCCCACGGTGAAAGTAGATCGCCTGTTTCCTTCACTCATGTATGCCTTCGGCTTAGGATGGGCGCTGGCAAAGGGCCAGATAGTAAATATTTTCAGCTCTGAGGGCCATATGGCCTCTGTTGCAGCTATGCAGCTCAGCCCCTGTAGGGCAAGAGGACCATAGATGATACGTCAACCAGTGGGCGCGGCCGGGCTCCCACATAATGGTATTTACAAAGACAGGTGGCTGGCCAGATCTGGCCTGTGGGCCATCATTGGCCGATCCCTGGCGTAGAGTATCACCTGTCACCTTACAGGTGCTCAGGGAGTTATTTGCAGAATCAACAAAAGAACCCAAACATTGGGTCCCTGTTCCACTTCCGCCCCAGCTGTTCTAATGTCAGCCAGGTGTCTGTGGGGCACTTCTGACCCCAGCCACGCCGAGTGAGCATCGGGCTGTGCCCTCCACAATCCAGTGCTCGCTCCAGACACCAGCCACGCTTCGGGGTACCCAGGCCACCCACGCTTCTCCTCGGCTGGCTATACATGTAGGGGTTCTCACATATCCTTTTCAGGTTCAGTAATTTGCTAGAACAGGTCACAGTACTTAAAAAAAAAAAAAATCCATACCATTCTGTCAGTCCCAAGCCCGTTGATGGTAGCACCCTTGGTTAGGGACGCTGGCAGGGGTCGGCCAGGGGGTACAGTCGCTCGTGGAGAGCTCCAGACGTTTCCCCGTCAGGGCCCCTGTTTATTGCTGGGCCAGCCCTTGTGGTTCTTCCTATGATCGCTCGACGCACTTCAGCAAAGACTATCTGGGAACTTTGAGAAATGAGGGCGATGACTCAGGAGTCCTCACAAGAGGGCACACGGCAGCCTCGGGGGCCACACAGTGAGGTCACGGGGAAGGAGAGAGAGAGAGAGAGGACCTGCGGCTCTGCCTTTGTTAGGACCCGAGGGCGGGTGTCCACGGTTTTGTGGGTTCACCCTTTCCTGGTGAATTTAAAGCGTAAGAAGAGGAATTGGGGTGGGAGGGAGACGTGGGGTCCCTCGGGCAGTCAACCATCTAGGCCCCCAGAGCTTTCTCAAAGAGGGGGCTTCGCGGGCGGGGCAGCCGAGTTCCATATCTGGCGTGTCGCTCGGGGCTGGGTCTTACTGCTGACGGAACGTTGATTCCAGCCGGACGTTGGGAATCAGAGCTGGTCAGTGTCAGGCACTGACCCTGCACACATTCCCAAGTACAGCTTCGTCCTTAATTACCGTGGAGATGCCCAGCTCTGCCCCGTGGAAATTTCACGGAGCCGGTGTCCAGAATTTCCCCTGGGCTCTCATTACAGAGCTGTGATCTGAGGACTTCTTGACCATGTGATTGAACGCCCATCTTCAGTGGCTGAAAAACCCACAAATCGGATCCCACCTTTGGTCTTCTGGGTGACCGGCCCCCATCCCGCAGCTACACGGGGACCCCCTACGCTGTTCCCTCGGTAGCATAACAAAGGGGCTCCCACCTCTCAGGGAATGCCAAGAGCCTTTGAAGCTCTGTGCCAGGACCTGGGACTGCTGTCACCAAGGTCATTCTGAAGAATTGGATATGCCAGGGGTGTGTGACCGACACCAGTAGCAACAATGATACCGCTAATGAGAAATGGTCATCAGAGCAAGGACTGGTGATTCTTGTTCTCTACATGCCACGTGGTTTAGACGGTTTCTCCCCCTGGGAAGTTTGGTAAAACCCTCTCTGGACTAACTTGGGTGCGTGCCCACCACCTCTGAATCCCCGGGGATGGGTAGAAGGTGGTGTCCAGCCTGGCCTGGATCCTGTGTCTTGCCTGGACCTCGGAGTGCTGTGCTGGCCAAGAACCCACCCCTTCAAGGACCACTGGCTATGGTCAGCAGAGCCAGAGGCTGCCCCCGGTCACACACTGTCCTGTGCCAGGCTGTGTTACAGGTGTGGGCACATCGTACCCGATGCAACAGTAAGCACCTGGTCTCCTTGGGAGCGGTGGCCGCAGTTCTGCCCTGTGGGAGCAGCCCCACCATGGTACGGGGCAGTGGAAATCCTCCGAAAGGCCCGTCAGCTTGGAATAATTGCCATCACGTGATAACACCCAAGTCCCATCCCTTCGGTGTGATGGCATGAGTCCTGCCTCTTCGGGGTAGAACCGGATCCTCCTGGGGGTGCAGAGTGAATCCCATTACTTTGGGGTATGCAGGAACCCCGTTGTTTTAGGGGAGAAGCGTGAGTCCCCTAGGACTAAGCTGTAGGACTTGCTGGCGTGGAGGACGGCACACACCTGCCCCTTTATGCGGTGGTTCTTACTGGGTGTGATTTGTCCCCCTGTTGGCAGAGGGGACGATGTTTGGAGACATTTTTGGCTGGCATGGAGTCGGGGAGGTCCAGGGGGGCTCCTCACCACCTTCCAGTGCCAGGACACGCTCACCACAAAGAATTTCTCCTGCCCTGCATGTCAGCAGTGCTGTGGTTGAAATGCCCAGCCTTAGGGTAACAGTGTAAGTTCCGTCCCTCGGGCCCGGTGCAGTCCTGGCATGTGGGGTCCTGGGTGCCCTGACCCCCTCTCTCCACTCTGTCCTCAGCCTGATGTGCACTCCATGCCTGGGCCCCTGTCCCAAGGTCTGCCACATACTGGAAGGCGAGAAGACCATTGACTCGGTGACGTCCGCCCAGGAGCTTCGAGGCTGCACTGTGGTCAACGGAAGCCTCATCATCAACATCCGAGGGGGCAGTGAGTGCTCTGGGGGCGGGGGGCTGCCCCGGGGGCGGGGACCTACCTTCCCAGCTGCACACCGGGGGAGGAATTTGAGGAGTTGGCTTCCAGACTGAAATTCAAATTTGTGGCTCAGTCCTGGCCCCGCCCACCTGGAGATTCTAGTTTTCCAAGTTGGGAATTGGCATTCTGACTTGGGAATTGGCATTTTTAACGAGTAGGCCACGTGCCCTGTGGCAGGTCTGTGGGCTGTGTTTCCAGAAATGTGGTTGCAGGCAAAAAAGGCATCCTTTTGTTTATATTTTCAGCAAGCATTTATCGAACGCATACTCATAGCGAACAAAGCAAAACCCCCCACGATGGGTCCTACAAATGAACACATCAGTGTATGACGTAAACTTGGGGTGGTCCCCACCATGGAGGGAAGTGAAGCAGGGAAACGGGGTGTGGGGGGGAGCCGAGATCAGCGATTTTTTCTTATAAAGGGCTGTAGAGTAAATACATTCAGCTTTGCAGGCCTCATGGTCTCTGCCACTGTAGAACTTGAGAATGAAGGGGCGTGGCTCTTTTCCAGTTAAACGTTATTTACAAAACGGACTGGAATTTCAGCCACTGGGCTTCCTGTCATTTGCCAGCCTCTGAGATAGATAATAAAGGGGTGTGCTGTTTTTGAGGGGGTTTCTGCTCTGAAGCAGGATGCCTTGAGCTGGAGATGAAGCAAACCAAGCAGATCTATGAGAGAATGATATTCCGGGCAAAGGAGGAAGCCAGTGCAAAGGTCCTGAGGCAGAAGGATGCCTGGCTTGCTTAAGGGGTGGTGGGGAGGCCCGTGTGTCTGGAGGAGGGCAAACAAGGTAAAGGATGAGAAAAAAAAATGCACTGGTCACTTACATAGGGACTTGCAGACCCTGCGGTAAAGGCTTGGATTAGTATTCTAAGTTTGATACATTTTGAGCAGGGCATGTTGAAGTCACTTGCAACCTCTAGGCTGACTCCTCCGTATGGGTGATTATGGGAAGATTAAAATATTTCTGTAGAAGCTCACAGGGTATTTTCCCCTTTCCTTAGACAACCTGGCAGCTGAGCTGGAGGCCAACCTTGGACTCATTGAGGAAATTTCCGGGTATCTGAAAATCCGGAGATCTTACGCTCTTGTGTCACTTTCCTTTTTCCGGAAGTTACGGCTGATTCGAGGAGAGACCTTGGAAATTGGGTATGTGGCCTGGTTCTGTGTGCGGCCCGGGTGCTTGCTAGGAGGTTCACGAGTTAAAGCGACTGAGGGGTTTCTGCCAAAACATGGAAACACCTGTGTCGTGGATGGACAAATGGATAAAGATGGGTCCCGTACATGCAGTGGAATATCACTTAGCCGTAAAAACGAAGGAAATCCTGCCATTTGTAGCAACGTGTACGGACCTTGAGGGTATTATGCTGAGTGAAATAAGTCAGAGAAAGACAAATGCTATAGGATCTCAGTTGCGTGAGGAATCTAAAAACAAAACCACAAAACCAAGCTTCGAGACACAGAGAGGAGATTGGTGTTACCAGAAGCAGGGGTAGGGGGCAGGAGGAGACAGGAGGAGACCGTCCCCGGGGGTCAGAGGGGACGGACTTCCAGTCATAAAAATAAACAAGTCCTGGGGTGTAATGTACTCATCGTGACCATTGTTAACAATACTGTATTCTACATTTGCAAGTTGCTAAGAGCATAAATCTTTCTAAAGAGCATAAAATTTTCTAAAAAAGATTTTATTCACTTATTGGACAGAGAGCACAAGCAAGGGGAGTGGTGGAAGAGAGAGGAAGAAGCAGGTTCCCCACTGAGCAGGGAGCCCAATGCAGGACTCGATCCCAGGACCCTGAGAACATGACCTGAGCCAAAGGCAGACGCCCAGCTGACTTCTAACATTTACTTTCTTAGCAGCTTTTAAATATGTGATACAATATCATTTTGTGTACTTACAATGACAGAACTTAGGGGTCTTAAAGCCCCCAGAGAATCTTAGGGGACAGTGCCTGGAGAAGCCTTGAGAGGAAGGAACGTGCTGGGACGTGTGGAGAGACCTAGCCAAGGAAGTAGATACGGTCACTCTTGGGAAATCTCAGGGGGTACAACTCAAGCTCTGTGCCCTCCAAGTGTGCTCTGGGCTTGGTTATGAGTCGGCGCGCTGCCTTGACCGGGACCCTGCCCTCTACCTTCTCACCACTTGGTCCCCCTTGACATTGACTCTTCCTTGCTGAAATTCTCATCTCTGGCCCATAGGATTCTCCTTTTTGGAGATACTCTCCCTGCCTCCTCCTCTCCATGCCAGGCCCCTTCACTCCACCTGCCTTTGAGACTTGCCGTGGGGGGCTCCCAGCCTTGGCTGTCTCTCTAGCGATCTCCTACGTGTGCTGAGTCCGGCTCTGGCTAACCCTCGAGCCTGTCTCTAGCCCGGCAACCCCCAGAAGCCTCAGATGCCACAGATACAAAATGGAACTCCTCTCCTGGCCCTAGTTGTCCATCTTCATTTCCCAGATCCCCTCCCCTTGAGGTCTACTGACTCTGTTTAGGTCAGTAAGACAACAGAAAGCCAGACTAGCTGTGTTTGCTGCAGATGGGGATAGTAGACGCACGAGCGACAAGTCTGAGGAGGGCTGTCCAGCAGGGACCCAGGTTCTGTCCATTCCGTGCTCCTCAGGGTCACAGCTCCAGCCGCGGGCCCGCTATCTTGGCGTTGGAGGTGATAAGCCAGTGAATGACGGGGCTTGTGTATGTTTCCGTAGGAACTACTCTTTCTACGCCTTGGACAACCAGAACCTAAGGCAGCTTTGGGATTGGAGCAAACACAACCTCACCATCACTCAGGGGAAACTCTTCTTCCACTATAATCCCAAACTCTGCTTGTCAGAAATTCACAAGATGGAGAAAGTTTCGGGAACCAAGGGGCGCCAGGAGAGGAACGACATTGCCCTGAAGACCAACGGCGACCAGGCGTCTTGTAAGTGGTGATGTCCTGGTCCTTCCAGCCCGCCGACCAGATAAGGTGTCCACCCTCCTCCTTGAGGACTGGCCCCCGGGTGGGGGGTGTCGTTGCCTCTCAATGAGCTGGAACAACTCTGGGTCATAGAGTCCTTCTGAAATACGGAGGACAGGTGTATCTTATCTTAGTGATTAGAGAGATAACAGTGCCTGATTCTGGCAGATGCCTCATCTGCATTGAATGAATGAATGAATGAATGAATGAATGATTCAGTTCCTCCGTATAGATGGCCTTGGCTCCAGTGCTCTAGCAGGTCCCGTAGATGCTAATAGAGCCAGAGGCAGCCAACTGATGACACTCCCCTGACAGGTTCTCTCTGGAAGGGACATCCGAGCCTTGAGGCGCCAAGGGGCTCGGGTCATTGCAGCGGAGTGTGGGAACTCGGGAGGGAGGGAGAGAGAGCAGGCTGGGGCGGAGCTTAAGGGATGCTTGCTTGCCTGCCGCTCTTTGTAAGGCCTGGTCTCTCCGTGATCGGCTCGCTCTCTGAACTCCCTTGGCACGTGTTCCATTTGCACCGGGGTTGAATGTCTTCTGACACGTAAGGCTCGGAAGCCCACGTACATGCCAGCATTGTGCCGGGACAGACGTTACTCTTGAAGATGGCTTCTCCCAGTAATTACTGGCGAGGTGTCCTTCTCAGTGGGTGCTGACTGCTGTTATGTACTGTTGAGCCTCACCCGTTTTAGTGCTGATACCATTACTCTTTTTAAACTTTCCTAGGTGAGAATGAACTCCTTAAATTTTCTTACATTCGGACATCGTACGACAAGATCTTGCTGAAATGGGAGCCATACTGGCCCCCTGACTTCCGAGACCTCCTGGGGTTCATGCTTTTCTACAAAGAGGCGTAAGTAGGAGATAAAAGAGGTGTGCGGGTTCAGAGGGTCCCTTTGGAGACTCTGCGTTCTCTCTCTTCCTTGGGGATGGCTGTCATCAGTCCCTTTTTACCATCTCACAAGCCGATGGCCTGGGAAATTAGTGAAATCCCCGTTTGTCAAAACCAGAAATTAAAACAAACTGGTTTCTTTTGCCAAGTTTCCTACAGCAACATCCCACTGTGCCTCATAATCCGTACATCTTGCCAGGACATCCTTAACGAAATTCGCTCAGTCTGCTTAGTGGGTTTTTAAACATTTATTTGCATATCAATTTTGTATTTTTTCCCAACATTTAAAGAATTGTGACAACACCTACGTGACATAAAATTGGCCCCTTGGACTCAGTTTCTCTGTACAGCTTAAGCACATTCACAGTGTTGTGCACTTGTCTCCAGCATCCGTCTCTAGAATTTTCTCCTCTTCCCAAACGAAAACTGTGTCCATTAAACAACACCCAGTCATTCTGAGTACAGTTGGCCCTTGAACAATGCCAAAGCTAGGGGCGCTGATTCACTACCCAGCCAAAAATCCACACACAATTTTTATCCCTCCCCCAAACTTAGTTGCTAATAGCCTGCTATTTCCTGGAAGCCTTATTGATAACACAAACAAACCATTGACTGATGTGGATTTTGGATGTTAAATGTATTACAGACTGTGTTCTTACAAGAAAGTCCGCTAGAGAAAAGAAAATGTTATTAAGAAAGTCACAAGGAGGGAAAATGCAGTTATGGTCCCAGACTGTAAAAAAATCCATCCACGCACGAGTGGACCCACGCCATTCAGCCCATGTTGTTCAAGGGTCTGCTATATGCGACTATGCTGAAAAAAATTAAAAAATTTTGTTTTTAAGTAATCTGTTTACCCAACATGGGGCTTGAATTTACAACCCTGAGATCAGGAGTTGGCTACTCCACTGACAAAGCCATCCAGGGTCCCCTGACTGTGCTGAAATTTTAGAGGGAGATGATGGAAGCTGTGATAGTATTCTTATGAGTAATTGCACCATCTTTGAAGGTTTATTTTGCTGAGACTGTGTGCTGGAAAGTAGCACTCAGCCTCTCATGGAGGTTTTTTTGTTTGTTTGTTTGTTTTTTCCAAATTTAATTTCTTCATTTGAGAGCGAGAGAGTACACCTGTGCACAGAGTTGGGGGGAGGGGCAGAGGGAGAGGGAGAGAAAATCTCCCGCAGGCTCCATGCTTAGTGTGGAGCCTGATGCGGGGCTCAGTCTCACAACCCTGAGATCATGACTTGAGCCAAAATCAAGAGTCAGACGCTTAATCGATGGAGCCACCCAGGCACCCCTCTCCTGTAGTCTTACCGATGAGTAGTGAGGTAGTTGGTATCAACATCATCACTCTTGATATAATTGGAAAATTGAGCTAGGGGTCCCTTCTCTTTGGGATCCGTGTCATTTTTCTTTGTGGCATAAGATTGTTGGTGAACAGGAGGCAGCCCTGTAGGATGTCACCTTTTCTGTTGCGTCTCTCTATCCTCAGAATGGGAGTCATGGAATGATAACCACCTTCTGCTTTGTCTTGAAAGCCCTTACCAGAATGTGACCGAGTTCGACGGGCAGGATGCGTGTGGCTCCAACAGCTGGACCGTGGTGGACATTGACCCCCCTCTGCGGTCCAATGACCCCAAGTCGCAGAACCACCCAGGGTGGCTGATGCGGGGTCTCAAGCCCTGGACCCAGTATGCCATCTTTGTCAAGACCTTGGTTACCTTTTCTGATGAACGCCGCACATATGGGGCCAAGAGTGACATCATCTATGTGCAGACAGATGCCACTAGTAAGTGTTTCTTTTTTTTTTTTAAGATTTTATTTATTTATTTGACAGATCACAAGCAGGCAGAGAGGCAGGCGGGGGGGGGGAAGCAGGCTCCCTGCTGAGCAGAGAGCCCAATGAGGGGCTCGATCCCAGGATCCTGGGATTATGACCTGAGCCGAAAGCAGAGGCTTAACCCACTGAGCCACCCAGGTGCCCCTAGTAAGTGTTTCTGACACAAACTGGACATCTTCCCTTGAACACATTGATGCAGCAATGTTGTAGGAAGGGCTCTGTGATGTGGTTATTGGCTTCTAAAAGAGCCGGGTGCCGAGGCTTAGAATTTCAAAAGACAGGGCAGTAGCCTATGTGTATATTCCTTCCCATTCTGGAAAAATTTATTTTATTTTAAGGATTTTATTTATTTATTTGACAGACAGAGGTCATAAGTAGGCAGAGAGGTGGGCAGAGAGAGAGGGGGAAGCAGGCTGAGCCCGATAAGCAGAGAGCCCTATGTGGGGCTCGATCCCAGGACCCCAAGACCACGACCTGAGTCGAAAGCAGAGGCTCAATCCACTGAGCCACCCAGGCGCCCCCATTCTGGAAAAAAAATTTTTTTTTAAAGATTTTACTTATTTATCTGAGAGAGACAGTGAGAGAGAACATGAGAGGGGAGAAGGTCAGAGGGAGAAGCAGGCTCTCCATGGAGCTGGGAGCCCGATGTGGGACTCGATCCCAGGACTCTGGGATCATGACCTGAGCCGACGACAGTTGCTTAACCAACTGAGCCACCCAGGCACCCAAGGAAAATTTTTAAATATCTACAAAAATAGGAGGAAAATGAGCCCCACGGACTGTCTCCCAGCTTCGACAATTGTGTTTTGCTATTTTTATGTCATCTCTGTGCCCCTCCCCCCCCCCCGTTTTTTTGAAGGGGGGTCAGGAATATTTCATAGCAGTTTAGTGATATTTGTATTTTCATGAAGCCTAAGTCCTTCTCCTGTCATGGAGGTCCTCAACCCTGTGGTGATTCTGCCCCCCGCGCTGCGGACACTTGGTGATGTCTGGAGACAGTTTTGGTTGTCGTGATGTGGGTCTGGGGTTACCAGTGTTGTATGCCGCTCAGCACCCAGCCGTGCACAGGGCAGATCCCACCACAAGGAATTACCTGGCTCCAGATGTCCTTGGTACTGAGGGAGAAACCCCGTCCCATGGGATACAGTCCAGGTGTTATGAGCCAGCCCCAGCTTTTTTGGTGGGTGCTCCCCCTTTCTTGTACCCTCCAGCAATACCAAAAGACTCCACAGTTTCTGGAAGCTTCTAACTTCCAGATCTTTGAACCCACAGTGCTCTCTGCCTTGAGAGCCTCACCCCGCACCCTCAGACACCTGCGTTCTCAAGGGCTGGGTTTTGTGGAGCCCGAAGGTGTTACATTCTGGGGGGTGTTAGGTGAGGTACCGTCTCAGCAATATGGGTGTCCCAGTGCTGAAAGTTGCCCCATGACTGGGTTCCGTTTGGGGCGGACGTTACCTGGAGAATGTGAGTTTGTTTCTCTCTTCCCACTATCCTCCCTTTCCCTCGCATCTTTCCAGTGCCTGGAACAGAGACAGCTTGGCACGCACTTGGAGCCTTCCTAGATGTGTGTTGCATCAATGAATGAGTGAAGGGGTCTGTAGTCTGCGGCATGAATGGACTGTCATCTGGTACCCCGTGCACTTGCCCCCTGAGCTTTCCATGCACCTCCAGTGTTCTCTGCTGTTAAATAACACCGCAGCGAACATCCCCATGATCTCTCTGACCTTTCTTATGCCTTCCTACGCCTGCCCGACAGCCAGTAACCCTCCTGCTCAACGGTGCCCCTGTTCTCCCTTTCTCCTTTGCAGACCCTTCCGTCCCCCTGGATCCAATCTCCGTTTCTAATTCCTCGTCCCAGATTATCCTGAAGTGGAAACCTCCCTCGGACCCCAACGGCAACATCACACACTACCTGGTTTTCTGGGAGAGGCAGACGGAAGACAGTGAGCTGTACGAGCTGGATTATTGCCTCAAAGGTAAGTGCCGGGGGTAGGGGCGGAGTTTGTGGGAGCAGATGGTTCGCTTCCTCCTTCTGGGCAAGCATCTCCGTCCCCGCCCAGGCCCATGGAGGCTTCCCAGTCTGAGTTTGGGGACATGGACCCGCACACGCCATTGCTTCTTGTACCAAAACATGCAGGCGCATTTCTAAACGTCACCGCCTCGTCCCACCGAAGACTCGAGTCAAAACCAGATAGTTCCCATGTCTTGGTGCCATTTCCTTCTGAAATTTTCTTCCCCTCCCCCTTCCCCGCTGTGGGGATGCAGCTCTGTCGACCCCCTGGATTTGGGGGCCAAGCTCGGAGTCGAGGGGTTAATGACAAAAGTCAGGGAAGAGTTTTAGGCCCTGCATTTAGACCCTTAATGTTTTAAGGATTGAGGTAGCAAGGACTGGTCATGCACTCCCTTCTGTGCTTTCCGTGAAAAATTTATACCAGTGATGACCTCCCCGCCCCCCATCTTGTTTACTTAATAGGCTTTATAGGTTTCATCCATTTGCAGGAAAATAGAAAATTTTCTGAGCCTCAGACTAGTTTGTATAAATTAGTTTAAAATTTTAAAGCTGGATTAAAAAAAAAAAAACCAAAAAAACCATCAAACCAAAGAAACAGATGTCATTTTTTTCTTTAGGGTTTTTTTTTTTTTTTTTTTGGGTGTGTGTGTATATGTGTGTGTGTTATGTTTGTCTGTATTTATTTTTCTTCAGATTGTTTTGAGTTTGTGATTTCCTCAGCCCTTGACCTTGGAGGCAACGGCTCAGGGAGTGCTGGCAAGCGGCGGCAGAGGCCTTGAGCCTGCAGGCCACGCTTGGCGAGACCTCTGACCCGATGTAGGGCTTTGGGCGAGTCACCGAGCCGGTCGCTGGCCGCCTCCTTTTCGGGAGACGGGGCAGGAGGCCAGATCTCTGGGAGCTGTCCCAGCTCTAAGATCATGTGCTATATGTATGCCTGTGACCTCATCCCCTCCACCACTCCCGCCCCCGAGCTGAGGCTTGCAAACGTGATTTATCTTCTCAGACGCTTTATATAACTCAAGAGCAAACACAGGCCTCAGCTTAGCTGTGAGCTGTTGTTGGCCGCGCATTCGAGTAACCGAAACCACCAGCTTGAACCACCACCAGCAGAGGCCCTCGGTGCTTTCCTTTTTTTTTTTTTTTTTTTTTTTAAAGAGTAGCAACTTTAATTCTGTCATTACAATGTGGCTTAATTTGTAATGATCAGGGAGTTTATGGAATTAAAAAATAAACTGAGGACCGATATAGTACGATTCCACCCGTAGGAGGTCCCCAGAAGACTCCCGTCCACAGAGGCAGAATATAGATGGTGGGAGCCAGGGCTCAGGGAAGGGGAGGGGAGTCCGTACTTCATGGGGACAGAGTCTCTGTTTGGGGAGATGGAAAGTTCTGGAGACGGAGGCTGGGGGTGAGGGCAGGATGGTGTGAGGGCGCTTCGTGCCACTGAGCTGTGCACTTAGAAATGATTAAGACGTTAAATTTTGTGTTATGTTTATTTTACCACAATTTGAAAAAAATTCGTAAAATAAATAAGCTTACTAATTATGACTAATAGTGGTTTCCCATTAACATCACCAGGAGCGTCCCTCCCCCCCCCGCTCCCCACTTTATTAAAATATGGTTGAATTATAGGATATTGAAAGGTAAAACTGTAAGATATTGAAAGTGCCCATCGGGATGATTTTGATACATCTGTATGCCATAAAGGGATTTCTCCCAGGTAGGGAGTTAGCTCATACATCCATCACTCGGTTTTTTTTCTTTGTGTGTGTGTGTGTGTGTGTGTGTGTGTGAGAACATTGAAGTTCGACTCCCTTACATATTTCAGTCCTAGAATCCAGCTGCCTTTTTAAAATTACCAACTGCATTTTAAAAAATTGTGGTGAAATATATAACATAAAATTGATCCTCTTAACCGTTCTTAAGTGCACGGCTCAGTGACAGTAAGCACACGTATTACTGTCCCTGCCATCCTTCTCCAGAACTTTCCATCTCCCCAAATGGAGACTCTGTCCCCGTGAAGCACAGACTCCACAGCCCTGGCTCCCGCTGTCTCCTCCCTGTCTCTGTGAACAGGATTGTCCGAGGTGCCCCATTTCGTATACTTTTACTGTGTAGTCACAGAGGAACCATGGGCCACTTTGTGCCCTGAGGTGGGAGCCAGAGAGTGTAACAGGAGTGAGGAAGTGTGTCTGACCTGATCAAAAAGCCCTTTCCTCTCCAGAAAATTCTCAGGATCCTCCCTCACGAAGGACACCCAAACTTTTCCTTCCGCCCATAATGCCATGACCAGTCCCTGTAATGGTTAACCCAGCCAGGGTAGTCTGTGCCGTTCATCAGGGTCACAGGCATCTTTAAGAGCCCCTTGCGGCCGTTCACCTCTGTATAAATACTGGGGCTTCCGAGTGGATACTCCCCGTTCACGGGAAAGGACTTTGGGCCCATTGTCTCCAGGACCCATTCAAGGGGAGAGGACAGATGTGCTCAGTCGCCCTTAGGAGGCTCCGGGTGCCAGGGCTGGCGGTGGGGAAGGTGAATCCCAGGGCCCTTCGTGGATTTTGCCCAAAGAGAGTAGCTTTCACACTTGCCAGTCGCACTCAAAGCGCGTCTGTGGCTCACACGGTGGATGGCAGGTGTCCCTGGGATTGGACTCAGGGGTCGAGACACGGCCAGTCCGTGGTACTTGAAAAACAACTTGGTGTTTTTGAGAAATGTCCCCCCCATCTCCCCTCATGTCGTTAGTCCAGAGTTTCTCTCCTTTAGCGCTGTTGACATTTGGGACCAGATCATTCTGTGGGGCGGGGCTGTCCCGTGCCTTGTGGGATGGTCAGCAGCAGCCCCCACTGCCCTGCCTGGCCTCACTGTCACCTACCCACCCCCCCAGGTGCCGGAGTCTCCTTCACCCCTCAGTATTCTTCACAGCTGGAACATCTCTAGACCTTGCCCAGTGTCCTGGGGGTGCAGGACAGTGCAGAATCCCCTCCTCCACCCCCGACCCTGTGGAAGGACCGCAGCTCTCCTGATTTCTGGATTCCTGCAGAAACTGTGGATTCTTTGATTTGGCAACCATTGGGTCTGTAGTTCGGACCCTTTATATGGCCTCCTATCACTTTATATGGTTGACTGCCTGATTCATTCATTCATGCAACTGTCACTTGCCCCCTGGCCCCAGCCTTTTTCTAATCCCACCTCCCACCATCCTGTCCCTCATCCTGTCCTCCTAGCTCCTTGGGGTTCTTGGTGTCTGTCAGCATGCCAGGGAAATCCCTACCCCAGGGACTTTGCACTTGCTTTTTGCTCAGTCCAAACTGCTTTACACCAAGATGCGTGAGTAGCTCATTCCTTAATTTGAGACTGTGCAGTGGTCACTTCCTCCAGCCCGATGGGGTGACCTTGCAGTTTCTGGAACACCCTGACACGCACAGATGTCCTGTGCGCCCAGCCCCTCTGAGAAGGACCCCATTGGGGGCGTGTGTGTTGCGGGGTGAGGAGAAGGATCCCAGGCCACCTGCTCTGCCTGTCTCTAGGGTTGAAGCTGCCATCCCGGACCTGGTCTCCGCCGTTCGAGGCTGAGGGCTCCCCGAAGCAGAACCAGAGTGAACACGAGGAGTCCGCCGGCGAGTGCTGCTCCTGCCCCAAGACAGACTCCCAGATCCTCAAGGAGCTGGAGGAGTCCTCTTTTAGGAAGACCTTTGAGGATTATCTGCACAATGTGGTGTTCGTTCCCAGGTCAGGACTCTTCTTTGGCTCCATGTGGGGGGCGGTCATGACCTGCGGAACAAGGTGAAGGGGAGACCCAGGGCGGGGCGGGTAAAGGAAGAGATTCAGTAAGAAATAGAGCAAGTAAGCACTCCAGACGGGGGAAAGTTAAAAAAAAATAACAAAAACCCGAAAAACCCTCAACATTTGCTTCCCCATGTGGCCCAAACCCTAGCCCAGCCTCGGGCCTCCATCTGCGTTCTTAAATGAGTTCCATTAGATTTTGTGGCAGAAGGAATGCTCCCGTGGCCCCGTGCTTGAATTATCTCGAAGTCTCAAGCTCAGAGCATTTTCTTTGTTCATCTCTCCACCCTTCTGGTCCTTCTGGAAATTTCTGTGGCACCTTCAAAACCCGGAGGCTTCTCCTAGTTAAGCCTGTCGAGTTTCCTTTAGCGAGTGAAAGGCTCTGCCGATGTCTGTTGGTGGGGAGAGGGTTGGCAGTGACGACGACCCCAGGCTACTCATCCCTGTCCTTGACTTTCCCAGAGGCAGAGATGCTTAGGTAAATGGCTCGTGTCTCTCTCTGCCTCAGTTTACTTATCTGCCATGGGCTGATAGTAGTAGCTCTTACTTCTTAGGACCATGGGAATGCATGAGTCCCCCAGGCTTCACAGCCTTGACCCTGGGGACGTTTGGAGCCAGCTGAGCCTCTGCTGGGGGACCTGCCCGATGTCAGCAGCTGCGTGCACCCGTTTAGTTTCTGAGTCTTTAGGGTAACGCACTGATGCAGCTGTTACCTCCCTTCCATGGGTCCAGAGCCAGTGTTTCTGAGCTGGTGAGGGACCCGACCTGGTTCTGGCAATTGTGAGGGGGGTAGGCTGTGAGCCGCCCCCTGTCCTGCTTCCCTCACTTCACTCAGTGAACGGGGTCCCTGGCAATGTCTTGAGGCAACGGGCTGTTTCCAGAGGTGGATCGAAACCCCAAAAGGGTGACATTGGGATTAAATAAGATTCTAAAATGGGTCCATTTGAATGCCTGCCATCGCTTCTCACATGAATAGATGTTTTCCCAGAACCACTGTTGTGTGACATTTAAAAAAAAAATTTCTTTCTTGTTTTTTTTTTTTTTTTTTTTTCCCCTCCATGACCCTGAGTCTGAAGAGCACTAAATGTCACAGCCCAGACATGGGGGGCAGTTACCGTCTTACCCGTTAAAAACAAAACGCTACTGGACTTAAGGAAATGGCTGAGTCAGTTGTGATGTTTAAATGTGGTCAAGTTTGTCATGTGAAGGGGGACTCCAGCTGGCCAGGTCTTGGGGCCGGGTCGGGTATTTTCTCTGATTCTTCCCTCCCCCTCCTGCTGTGTTCTGTGCATCTGATGGGGAGACACTGTGATTTGGGAGGTAGGAGACGTGGTCCACAGTCAAGGGCAGGGCACCCTCAGGCTGCTCAGAGGGAACGTGGCAGAAGCCAGAGGTCAGAAGCCAGAGGTCTGCCTGAACGAGTTTTGTCTGTCCTCAAAGTGGTTGGTTTTGTTTTCACAGAAAATCCTCGTCAAGCCCTGGTGCTGAGGACACTAGGTACAACTCCCCTGCAGGAGGTCGGCGTGGCCGCTGGGGGCCAGGCAGGGCAGGAAGCATGCCGTGTGCCTTTGAGACTCCAGAGGCTTCCGTGGCTTTAATGCATGTGATGGGCTGCCGTGTCAATCTGGGAGGCTTCGTGAATTCACACGGGAACTGCCTTCACCCTCAGATGGGGTCTGGGCACAAATGCCGGGAATGAGTCTGCACTAACACACCCTTAACTAAAACGTAGACTCAAGGGGCGCCTGATTGGCTCAGTCTGTGGAGCAGGTGACTCTTGATCTCTGGGTCATGAGTTCAAGCCCCACGTTGGGGGCAGAGTTTACTTAAAAAAAAAATAGAGATAGACTGGGGGGGTGGTGTACTTTCTGGGCACCTTGTAGATGCCACACGTTGCCCTCTGTGCAGTCACTCGCTAAACACTTACTTACCAGCACCGACGGTGTGGGCTGGTCTGTGCCTGGAACGCAGAGTTTCTGCCACGTGCAGCAAGTAGTGCGGGGGGGGGGGGGGGGAGAATGTTTTTATTCGGGGTGACAAGTGCAGGGCTGCAGGCGTGCCGTGTCAGTGAACTCCCCTGTGGACGGGACGGCTTCCCTGCGATTGGCGTCTTGAAGCACCAGGGAGGGGTTGCCCTGGAAGAGAGGACAGGCAGAGAAGCTGCGGAAAGGAAGGCCTTGGGATGAATCACGGGCCCCTGGAAGTTGCCAGCGGTGGGGAGGTGGGGCGGGGGGAGACTGGAAAGGCAAGTCAGGGTCCTGTGGAGGGATGTTACTCTCTCTGCTGTATTTTTTCAGGCTTATTTGTGTGGCTCTGATCTGACCTCTAGTGGCCATTTGGAATATAACCTGCAGAAAAGAAAAGCCTGGACTTTTGAGGCTTGGGGTCTGCATCGGGCGTTTCTCAAATCTGACGCGTACTGACCTTTAGGGTCAGATCATTTTCTTTTGTGGGGCCCACCCTGCGTGTGGTAGGATGTTGGGGCATCCCAGGTCTCTGGACTCAAAATGCTAGTAGCTCACGTGTCCCCCAAGTAGTGACAACCAAAGATGTCCCCAGACAGACATGGCAAATGTTCCTGTGTGGCGGGGTGAGGGGAAGACTCACCCCTGGTTGAGGGCCACTGGTTTGCTAGGAGACTGTGGGGTGTGAAGGTCACGGGGACTTTGAGAACCCCGAACCACAGATAGCGGCGGGGCAGTGGGGGGATGATTGCATATACATCCGGCTTGTTTGATGAGACCTTTTCATGCTTCCAGTTGTGCGGACACCCATTTCCCAGTAGTTTTTCCTGAGGCACCAGTATCGTGGTCATTTGGGAAAAGGCCCACTTGTGCCTGGATGGAAATGTTCTGAATCTTACTAACATGGGTGTATCTTTGGTTTCCATCCAAGAATGTCACTGGTCTTTGCATATGAAGAGACCACACAAAAAATCTTAGTGCAAAAGGGTTTTTCTTCTGACTACAGTGCAGTAGAAACTAAAACTTGGCTTCAAACATTTGAGCAGAAAAGTCCTCCCTGGTGATGTAAAGTCGAGCACTTCAATACCTTTTGGAAGAAGCAGACCTTAGAGACCTTCATTAAAGTCCATTTGGAAAATAATGGGAATGCGAATATCACATATCTTAAATTTGTAGAATATCACCAAAGCTTGGGCTTTGATGCGAGTTAGTCGCCTTAAATGATCTTGTAAGTTAAGAAAAAAAAACTAAAAGGTAAAAAAATAGAAATGTATTGTGAGGGAGGGGAATCCAGATGGCTCAACTTGCAAATATAAGAATGGGAACCACAAGTAACTAGAAATAAAACAGGTGATCTGAAACTAGGGACAAAGGAAGATTTTAATATTGAATTCTCTGGACAGTCTTGTGTTATTCAAGTTGAAGCTTTTGGTGAAGAGGGAAGTTTTAATTTGATCTGATTCAGGATGAAGCAGAAAAAATGAAATAGTCCACTAACTTTGGTAAATGCGTAAAAATTGTGTCTCAGAAAGGCCCTGGGCCCAGAGAATTTTACAGGTGAGTTATTTGAAACTCTGTGATACAGAAACTTTTTCTGAGCATAGAGATCGATGGAAGGCTTTCCAGGTCATTTTATGAAACCAACCTAATGTCCCTTTAGCTGAACCTGATGTAGCTGTGATGTTGGCAGCAACCCCAGGACTAGCCAATGTGACACTTTAGATCCATACGTCCTAAATGAAACAGCGTGCTGACAATATCGTTTCACTCAGAAGTACAAGGATGGTTTACGATCAGCAGAGAGGATAATTCATCAAGGGACCCAGTAAAGGCAAATCATGAGATAATCTCATGAGACAGCATTCATTAAAAACTCCTAGTTTAGGGAAATGAGTGAAAAGTGGGAGTAGAATACTTCTGCTACAAGGTAAATAAATATTACCTAGATGAAACCAACAGCCAAGCTAGCATTGTACTTAAACTGTCCTTGTTCCATTTAGGAGGAAGCCCAGTGTCGTCATTACTAATTAACGTCTTCCTGGGTAGCCAGCCAGTGCAATAAGACAAGAATAGCAAAGAGTGGATTGTGGGAAGTAACATCATTATATTAACAATCCAGTACAAGGATAGACTCACTGTGGTGTCACAGACTGGCTGCCCGTCTTTTTGTCATTGAAGTTTCATCGGAAAGCAGCCACACCCATTTGTTTATACTTTGTGTACTCCCACTTTCAAGCTATAATAGCTGGAAAGCCGTTGAAAGTTGCGTAGAGACAAAAAGTACTTGGGGACACAGGTCCTGCAAAATCCAAAATCTTTACTTCCTACCATCGACAGGAAAAGTGTGCCAACTTTTTCTAGTGTGCTCCTTGGAAACCCAAGGATAGCAACTATGAAAATCTTGGAGGAGAGTTTGGGAAAGAAGGTACAACGTAAATTAAAAAGCCTGGTGATACACTAGCAATAGAATAGTAAACAGAGGAGACAATCCCTTGATCTCTTTCATAATTGCCATACCACTTTGGTAACCCCACGGAGAATTAACTGGACAGGAAAAAAGGTAAACGTCTGTGGAGCTCTCAGATTTTCTGGATATGCATGAAAGACTGTTTTGAATCATTTACAGAAATCTCACCAGCTGTGTTAATATCCTTAGTGAATAAACAGGGTAACAGTAGGAACAGTGAGGAAAGTGCTAGAACGTCATAGAAAGAAGAAGATGGACGAGTTCCTTAGAGAAACACAAAAGACCGAGGAAGGAAAGACAGGTTCACGTGGAGTGGTATTAGGAGTTAACAAACAAAGCAAAAGGGCCTTTTCAGTCTCTTGGGTTGAAAATCTGCAAACCAACAAACAGACAAAACCCAAAGAACCCTTTAACCCTGAGTACTGATGAGGCTATCCCGAGGTGCATTTGAGGGGCTGCTGGGGAGACCCCCGATCAGTTGAAATGTCTGGGAGAGCAGTTTCGCTGCTCTAGCTAGACACAGCCTAGCTATTTCCCTTCTAAGAGTCTAGTTTTAGGATCTGATAAGACAGTCTGACAGTGACCAAAGTGGTGTTTATAAGAGCAGAAAACCCTGGGATCCTCCTAATACAGACATCCTCTGAGGTCCTGTGGGCTCGGTTCCAGACCCACCGTCATTAAGATGGGTATCACAGTAAAGCAGGTCTCCTGAATTTTTTGGTTTCCCCAGTGCGTGTAAGTGTTCTGTTGATACCAGACTGTAGTCTGTTAGGAGTGCCTTAACATCACATCTAACAAAACAGTACACACACCTTAATTTAAAAATATTGCTACGGGGTGCCTGGGTGGCTCAGTGGGTTAAAGCCTCTTCCTTCGGCTCGGGTCATGATCCCAGTGTCCTGGGATCGAGCCCCGCATCGGGCTCTCTGCTTAGCAGGGAGCCTGCTTCCTCCTTCTCTCTCTCTGCCTGCTTCTCTGCCTACTTGTGATCTCTGTCAAATAAATAAATAAAATCTTTAAAAAAAAATTAAAAAAATAAAAATATTGCTACAAAATGCAGAATCCTTGGGGCTTTCAGTGAGTTGTACTCACTGATCACAGATCACCGTGACAAATACGATGATAATGAGAAAGTGCAAAACAGTGTGAGAGTCCCCAAAAGGTGACCCGGAGACACACAGGAAATGTTGCTGGAGAATGGTGCTGGTAGACTTGGCCCATGCAGTGTGCCACACACCTTCAGTTTGTAAAAATGCAGGATTTGCAAAGCACCGCAGTGCCAAGGGCCATAAAATGGGGGCACATCTGTATTAAATAAAATAGGAGGATGGTTAGTAATTTATGGCTCGTGCATTCAATTGAGCATTTTCCAATTTTCTGCATTGAGCATGTGCTCCTTTCCTAGCGGGGAGGGAAAACCTTCCCACTGAAAAAGACAAAACGTAAATTCTGTGCTAAGTACTTAAGGCGTTACGTTTTAAGGAAGGTCTCTGATGCATGTTTCCATCAGAACAAGCGAACAAAGGTGTGCAAGACTCGCTTGGTCCTCATTATACCTACACATAACATTTCTAGGGAAAAAATTGCCCCCAGGAAACAGAGGGCAGCGGAACGATGAGTCACTTAAATTTCTCTGTGCTTTTTGTGTATGTGTGTTTACAAATTTTGAGGGTTTTGCATTCATGTCTTAATTTCTTAATTGGGGGGGAATGTGTATTGACTGCATGGTTTTACCTTTCTTTCTTTCTCTTTCTTTTTTTTTTTTTTTGAGTACCCTTACCAACCTGAGTGGTAAGACTTTTTTTTTTTTTTTTAAAACCTAAGAATTGAAATGTAGTCCCTTCTATGATGTAGATGCCCTCTAGGGTCATAAGAATTAGAAGTTGGTCTTTCCTGTTTAGATAGGTGATGCTGGCCAGTAGTTTGGGCTGCTGGGCTCATGCCGTTTGAAAAGGTTCCTGAAAAGTTAGACTCTGACATGCTCTGGGAATCTGGTCTTTAACACTGACTCGGGGTGGCCAGTTAATCTGCAACGTGACAACCTAAAATCAAGCATGTTGAGGGGAATATCGGTGTGTATCCCCCACTGATGGTCCTGGAGCCCCCTCCCCTTGCAGGTGTCCTGGAAAGCTGCTCTGGGTTGTAATTCTGGGCAACCTGCATTTCATTGCATTGCCACCCACCTGTCCTTGGTTTTGAGACTTTTATCCCCCAGCGTCATTTTTTTATCTTCAAGACAGCGATCGCATGACTGTGTGTATATGTGTGTGTCCTGCTGTCATGACAGGCCATCGCGGAAACGCAGGGCCCTCAGGGACGTTGGCAACGTGACAGTGGCTGTGCCCACAGCTCCAGGTTTCCCCAACACCTCGACTAGCACGCCCACAAGCCCGGAGGAGCACAAGCCTTTTGAGAAAGTGGTGAACAAGGAGTCCCTGGTCATCTCTGGGCTGCGTCATTTCACCGGCTACCGTATCGAGCTGCAGGCTTGCAACCAGGACGCCCCTGAGGAGAGGTGCAGTGTGGCGGCCTACGTCAGCGCCAGGACCATGCCTGAAGGTGGGTGGGCTCATCGCCAGCGCCAGGAGACTTGGGCTCGCCAAGGGGCAGCCCTCCTCCTGGTAGGCAGTGTAGATGGGTATCTAATCTGCCTTTATCGTTTCTTATTCTTATGGGAGCCCGGCTTCCCCTAGCCAATATACAACTTCAGCAGATACACACACACAGATAGACATATACGAAATATAAAGTCAAATTAAGAAATACGTATTATGCATGGTATTAATCAGGGTTCTGCAGAGAAACAGAACCAGTGGGATATGAGCGAGATGGACAGACGGATAGGTAGGTATGCAGACAGTCCCGTGAAGATGTTGAGTTTTACGTGTCTACTTCCCTCATGGGGAAAGTTTCGCAAGCGCCTGGAGGTGGGTTGCTCAGCTGGAGGTGGGATTTGATCCGGGGGTCAGGAGCCTGCCTCTAAGCACTGTCCTTACAGCCAAGGCAGATGACATCGTTGGCCCTGTGACCCATGAAATCTTCGAGAACAATGTCGTTCACTTGATGTGGCAGGAGCCGAAGGAACCCAACGGTCTGATTGTGCTGTATGAAGTGAGTTACCGACGCTATGGTGATGAGGTAAGACCTCCGGATGCTTGGGCACGTCCCTCAGAGCTGTTGCTGGTACCTACGCCCCCTTTCTCTTCTTAAATTCCGGCCCAAACACTTCTCCTGTCGAATGCATTGTCATTGGGACTCCATGCCTTGATTTAGAACTTTCCAGGGAGGTGGGTGAGAAATGCCGATCTCCAGACTTATTTCCTCAGTTTCTCACATTTCAGCTCTGTCCTACAGGATGAACGATGGCTGTCTGCATTTGTGTTCCTCCTGACATCACAGGAGACCCATTTCACTTCAGTCAGAGTTCTCTGGGGGCAGAGGGAGAGGGAGAAGCAAACTTCCCGCTGAGCAGGGAGCCCAATGCAGAGCTCGATCCCAGGACCCTGCATCATGACCAGAGCTGAAGGCAGACACACTTAACCGACTGAGCCACCCAGGTTCTTAATAAGGAACTTTCCATTTCCTGGCAGACGCTGTGCGGGGTGGTGGGTGAACGCAGAGATGCCCGAGATAATGGCATCTAAGAATGACAAAAAAGGAGCCACGCTGTCCTGAGGGGTCACTGTGTGTCTCGCACGTATGAAGCCGTGTACATGCGGTTTTATGTCCTTTATCATTTTTTATCACGTCTAAGGCATGATAAGCGGCCACTGCTAAAAAACAAAAAACAAAAACAAAAACTGCCAGTTCTAATTGTAAGTTGGTGTTGCTTCTAAAGCTGCCTTGCAATTTCAGAAATGCCAAAATGTGAAAATAATACGCCTCTCAGGACCGATAAAATGCAATAAATCTGCAGAATAACCCAGCGAACTTGGTCCGAAGGCAGCCAGGATTTTTTTGTCCAGGGTCCAGAAGAATAAAGTTAGGACTCAAACCCAAGACTGATGTTCTCATCCAAGGGGTGGCAGCTTTTTTCCTGTCGAGAGCCAGATACGGACCATGTTTGGCTTCACGGCTAAACGGCCTCTGTTGCAAATACTTAGCTCTGCTGTTGGAGCTCGAAAGCCGCCCGATAGAGGAGATGGACGCTCATGGGGTTGGTTGTGTGCTGGTGAAATGTTTTATTGCAAAAGCAGGCAGTAGGCGGGCGTGGGCTCCAAGCGGCGCCCGTAACTACTGTGGGTGGATCACCATCCGCAGAAGGGCGGGGGTCTGCACCTGCCAGAGGAGGTGCAGGCTAGGGCTTGAATCCCCCTGCGGACGATTCTCCCCTGGACCGTGTGACTTCAAGCAGATGAGCCTCATCACCTCCTTGGGTTGGTCTGAGCCCTTCCCCCGTCCCAGACACAGCACCCAGTCCTTTGCAAGCATCTGTTGGAACCTCGAGGTGACCCGACCAGGTGGCATCTGTTAGTGTCTCCTTATTTTGGCCAGGAGTGTGGACACTGGAGGAGCTGAGTGCCCTTGCTCAGGGTCACACGCCCAGCATCTTAAATCCAGACTGTTGGGCTCCGGAACCTGCCATCTGCGGTTGAGGCCGGTCACTTAGGTCAGAGGTCATTTTCTATAAATGGCCAGAGAGTTTAAGTTTTTAGTTTTGGGAGCCATAAGGTCACGCTTGGGCATGAGTGTTTTTGTTTGTTTGTCTGTTTGTTTGTTTTATAATAGTTTTACTGTGACACATTCACATACCATAAAATACGCCCATTTAAAATACACAGTTCGGGGCGACTGGCTGGCTTGGTCGGAGGAGCGCGTGACTCTTGGTCTCGGGGTTGTGAATTCAAGCCCCACGTTGTGTGTAGCGATGACTTAAAAATAAAATCTTTACAATACAATAAAATATTCAATATAATGGTGTTGGTTTTTTTTTTTTTTTTTTAAGATTTTTACAATTTTTAAGTCATCGCTACACCCATCGTGGGGCTTGAACTCACAAGCCCCCAAGACCAGGATCTTAAACTCCACTGACTGAGCCAATCATCACATCAATTTCAGAGTATTTTCCTAAAAAGTCCCCCCAGCCCAGCCCCGATCTCCCCTTCCTCGTGTCCCACCAGTCTCTGTCAGCTGCTAACCTATTTTCTGTCTCTGGATATGCCTGTTCTCGGCACCAAATTGTACAACACACGGCCCTCTGTTGCCGGCTTCTGTCATTATCATAATGTCTCCGAGGTCCATCCCCTGGTGGCTTCCTTTTCCTGACTGAGAAATACTCCATCACATGGATGGACCACATTTTGTTACCCGTCACCCGTAGACAGGCATTCGGGTCGTTTTCACCGTCTGGCCGTTGTGAATAAAGTCACTCAGGGTGTCCTCGTGCAAGTGTTTGTGTGGACACGTGGCTTCCGGTCTCCTGGGTGCGTACCAAGGGATGGAACTCTGGGGTCCCAGGCCAGCTCTTTCCCCAAGTTGCTGCACCATTTTAGATCCCCAGCGGTAGGGTCTGAAGGTCCAGCTTCCCCCTGTGGTCTCCAGTCCGTGTTCTGGGCCATGTTTTGGGGCAGGGCCATGCTGGTGGCTGTGAGTGGCATCTCACTGTGGTCTTGATGTGCATTTCCCGGATGGCTCATTTGGGCCGAGTTTTGGGCCTTTCCGTGAACCCATGGGACTCGTCAGCTTTCGGGCAGCTTTGGGCAGTGAGGGTCGGCCCTGGAGCCCGTGTGGGGTTAAGGATGGGAGGCCGGAGGCCCTCAGGGGGGAGGGGCAGCTTCCAAAGGAAGTTCCAGGGGAACCTTCAGGATGTTGTGGTTAGCAGGGAAGGGAATATGGATTCTGGGCCGTGGCAACACGTTTCCACTGCAGACCCTCCGTGGTTTCTTCCTGCTGCTGTGACCGGCTCTTTCCCTGGAGTTTGCCAGTGTCGAGCACTGAAGTCCTCCATCCTAGGAACCCCTTGGTCCTGGGTGAACTGGGAGGGTTGGTTACCCTGTTGGCATAAGTTCTCCAGCTGCCTTCTGCGCGTCTGCCTCCCCCTCTTCCTAGAGTCCAAGGGTCACGGGTACAAATCCCTACTAGATCCTCAGCCCCACGTGCAGCACCAATCCCACACAGACTGGCCCTATTTGCCCTTTAGGGGAACAGAGATTTGGGTGGGTAGGGGGCAAATAGGAGAGAGAGAGAGATTATAGTAACTTAAAAAAAAAAAACCTTTTCATGGACAAGATGGCGGATCATCTCCCACATTTTCCCTTATTGCCTAGCATTGCTTTGATAAAGTAAGAAAATAATGCAAAAAAATTTATTACACCCCATTAATAATACTGTTGGGGTATGATTTTGCCAGTTCTACAAAAATTCTCTCCAGCGTTTGGTGGGAGGTTTTTTTGTTTGTTTGGTTTTTGGTTTTTTGGGTTTTTTTTGTTGTTGTTTTTCTGGTATTTGCTGGGTTCATCGCCAAAATCCCGTCTAGCTGCCTCACTTTGGCGGCTCTTTCTCCTTGAACCTCACATTCAAGTCATTTGCCGTCTTACCTCGTCCCCTCTCTGCTCAGGAGGCCCTGGCCCCGGGGACCCCCCCCCCTGCCCGGGGAGGAGTATTGCTTCTCACTGTTGGTGTTCCCGTCTCCTTCGCTTCAGTGTCTGCCGTGGTTTCGGGCTTCTGTCTCATTGGCACAGACTTTCATGGAATTGGCTTCTTTACTCTTTGTCAGGTTTTGCTTCTCGTTTCCCTTTTCGTTTTTGTTTCTCGGTGTCTGTGGAGACAGCTGCCTCATTGTCTAGTTCCTTCCATTCATGCTCCCTCCCAGTCCCCTCTCCCCTCAAGGTGTGTGGGGTCCCTGGCCAGCCTAGGAGGGTGCCCTTCCCCTCTCTCCCCCGATAGCAGCTACCTTTGGTTTCTGTATTTGCGTATTTGCCCATTTCTACTTGGTGACTCATCGGACTTGGACGGACCTTTGGACCGGTGTCCCCACCCCTGCCGTCAGCCCAATCAGCCCGATCTGTTTTCTTGCTGTTCTTGTCACATGACGAGCACGGGAGTTTTTTACGTTTCTTTCTCTGCCCACTGAAATTTTCCAGTCCAGCTCTCTGCATGCACTATTAACTTGGAGCTGTTTTGGAGTTTTTAAAAATTGGCCGGACGCGGGCAGGGTTCACGGTCTCATTTCCCAGTGAGCCTCTTGCCTCTTCTACTAAGCTCTGGATTGATCTCTGTTTGCACCCTTATCACTGGGGCGTGTATCCTTTTCTTCTGTCCCCTCTGTTTTCAGAGATTGAGGTAGGGCCCTGCTTGTTTTCAGAATGGTCACATAAAGCAAAGCAAAGCAAAAGGCTGCACCAGAGGAAGGAAGATTTACCATGTGTCCCTAAGACATTAAGCCCATGCATGCCTTTGGTTCTGAGGCCAGGAGATGTGGGGGCAAAGCCTGAAATTTGATTTAGGTGCTGTGGGTCTCTTCTTTCCTGGCTTTCTGGGACTTTCTAGAGGCCTGGTGACAGTGCCTCACAGTGGTTCCAAAAAGGGTAGGAGCCACGTGGTTCTGGATTCAACAAGGGTGGTTGGCCCAGCCACTTACCTGCTAGGAGAGCTCCCACCAACCATTCCGTCTCTCAAGCAGCGGTCCGTGGACTATTTTTGTACGCCAGTGTTCGTACAGCTTCAGAGCTAAGAATCGCTTTCCTGTCTTAAAGTGGCTGGAAAAATGCCAAGCATCGAGAGAAGGATGGTGTGACGTCACGTACCCACTTAACGTGAAGCTCAGCGTTGGGCGTCTACAGTGTTCCGTGGGCACACAACCACGTCTGCTTGTGGACGGATGTTATGGGTTTGGGGTGGGTCTCTGGGTGCTTTCGCACTGTGACAGCAGGGCTGAGTGGGTCATTCATGTGGGTGAGTGGGTGACCATCTGGCCCCTTTGACAGAAAAAGTTTGTGGCCCCCTAGCCCAGGGACCACAAAATGTCCTCATTTCTAGCATGAGGCTGAGCCCCAGTGGGGTTGTTACAAGAAGGAAATGACCCGGTCCAGGTCAGACGCATGGCTTGTGGTTTAGGAAGGGTCAGATTTTACCCACGATGACAGCCTCCGCAGCTGCCTCCTTCCCCGGAGAGCGAGCGTGTGGAAATTGTGACGGTCCTGATGCGGCCCGGGCGCTCGGTGTTCTGATGGCACCTTCTTCCCTCTGTGGTCCTGCCAGGGATGGATGCTCCCGAATGGCCGAGAACAATCCCCACTCCTCCCCCTGTCTTCCAGGAGCTGCACCTCTGTGTGTCCCGCAGACACTTCGCCCTGGAGCGGGGCTGCAGGCTGCGTGGGCTACCGCCGGGGAATTACAGCGTGCGAGTCCGGGCCACCTCCCTGGCAGGCAATGGCTCCTGGACAGAAGCCACTTATTTCTACGTGACAGACTATTGTAAGTCTGGGCTTGGGGCTGGGCGTGGCAGGGCAGTTCAGAGGGTGGCCAGGGAATCTCGGAGGCTATGCCCGCTGGCCCCGGACTTGACCAGGTCCCGGGCTGCTGGTGCTGCTGTGTGACCTGAGCAATGTGCTTGTCCTCTCTGAGCCTGTGTGTTCTTATCTGACCATGGGGAGAGTAAGGACCCCCCCAACTGCCTTGGGGGTGAAAGGAGTTTTCTGTGACATGCAGGTCAAGTGGTTAGCCCAGGGTATGTTAGATGAGCACATTAGCTCTTGTTACTAGTGTCCTAAACTTGATTTTTGATGGGCCGTGCCCTCCAAGGGAGGACATGGGAGCTTTGCCTGTGGAGTGTCAGATGTGCTCTTGATACGCAGGGAGTGAGTGCTGCCATCGTGTGCATAGAGCACACTGTGGACAGTAGAGTGGGAGGCTGGGGAAGCTGAACTGGTCAGGGACTGCTTCCTGGAGGAGGTGACATCTTGACTGAGACCAGGAAGAATGTACAAGTGGGGACAAAAGAAGGCAATCATCCTGGAATGTGGTTGGAGCCTAGACACTTGAATGAGTGAACAGATGACTTGGAAGGAGGGGAGATTTTAGACGAGGAGGAGTGGGAGCTTGCGAGGGACTGGGGTGACAAGGCTCCTGCTTGCCCGGCTGGATTTTCACGTACCAGGCCTGGTGGGACTTCGGAAAGTGGGAAGTGATTCCTGCTGGGAAGGCTCCAGCCAGGGTCAGGGCTGGGATGAGCGTCCCAACACCAGCTGGGCGTGCAGCACCACCATTCTGATGCTGCCTAATGGGGTGAACACAGACCCTGCCAGGTTAGGAGCACAGTTCCCAGCCAGACAGGCCTTATTTCAGATGCTGGCTATAAGTTGGGGGTTCTTTAAGCCCCCTGCACTTCCAGCTGGTACCCCCCAGCTGGCACCCCCAGTTGGCAACAAACTCAGGGGTTCCTGTGACCTCCCCCTCCCCAGATTCAGTCATTTGTTCGATCAGCTCATGGAGTTCAGGAAAGTGCTAGATTACAAGGATGATGTTATTATAAAGGCTGTCAGTCGGGGCCACCCAAATGAGGAGACATACAAGGGAGGGTCAGGAGGGTCCAGGATGCTGAGTTCCTGTGTGTTCTCCCAGTGGAATCAGGACATGTGGCGTCATCCTCCTGGCATACCGTGTGTTCACCAGCCGGAAGCTCCTCTGGGCTTTGGTGTGGAGGGTGTCCCTCACTAGGCACTGCTGAACACATCGCTGGCTATGGGATGGAACTCCATCTCCGGCCCCTCTGCTCCCTGGAGCAGCCCCTCTGGTCCAGCCTTCCAATCACGTGCTTGGTCTGCCAGTGACTAGCCCGCATCCTGGGTCATCTCATCTCTTAGCATAAGCTCAGGTCTGTTCCAAGGGGCTCGTCAATAATAAAGACACTCTTATTACCCAGGATATTTCAAGGATTTGGAGTCTCTCAAGAACCCGGGCTGCCATGAACAAAATTCCAAGGAAAATAACAAAGTGCGAAAAAAAAGTTTGTAACATCATTGACAACGGGTTGATATCTTTGTTATAAAATGAATATATATATATATGTAGTACATGAGTAGGAAATATAAATAAGTCCTAACATAAGCATAGACAATGTAAATAGCCAGTTTAAAAAGAAATATAAAAGATAGAAAGCATAAAAAAAAGTCCAACCTCAAAACCACACCAAAAAAGGAAGGAAATTAAAACAAGAGGTAATTTTTAACTTATCGAATTGGCAAAGCATTTGTTTCTGTTCAATTATAGTACTCAGTGCTGTCCAAGAGTATAGACCCATGGACATTCTTTTTGTGGTTGGTGAATGCTACAATATAGCACTTTATTTTAAAGACTTTTATTGATTTTTTTGAGACACCAAGCAAGAGAGAAAGCATGAGCTTGAGGGGAGGGACAGAGGGACAGGGAGAAGCAGACTCCCCTCTGAGCAGGGAGCCTGATGCGGGCTCGATCCCAGGACCCTGAGATCCTGACCTGAGCTGAAGGCAGACACTTTCCTGACTGAACCACCTCCCCTAAAGCATACTACTTGAAAAATATGTATCAAACATCTTATAAAGGCTCTTACTGTGTGAACCCACAATTCTGGTTCTAAAAATTTATCCTGAGGAAATGAACAGAGATGTCCAGAAAAGATACGTGTTTGAGGAAATGCAATGCAGCATTACTAAAGATGCCAAAAAGTCTGGAAAATTACAGTTCTTTATTTTCTAACAGGGAGGCAAGCAAGGAACCGGGGGTGCACATTTTAAGGAGGTGCTTACCCCCAGGGGCTGACCCTGCGTCTCCGTGACCCAGAGCAAGAGCTCTCAAATTTTGCACACTGGGTGCTTCCCTTTCTCCACCCTGGTTCCCGTGGCCATGGGAATCGGAGGCATGAGCAGGACTGTGAGGTCTGGGAAGCCGAGACGGGGGTGCAGCCTGACTCTCAGATTGTGTCTCCAGACCTGCTAAGTCCTGGCTACTTGGTGGCCTCAGTTTCCCTGCTCCTAAGGAAGAAGGAATAGGGAGGAAGGGACATGCAGACAACCACGTGTGGCCAGTAGGTTTCCTTTTCTCGTGTCTCATTCAACCACCAAATTTTGACGGAGACTTTCTGTGGCCAGGAGCTGCCGGAGAGGGGAGGAGGCAGTTTGCTGGGACTTCAGGGAGGGACAGGAGGTCTCAGGGTATAGCTGGCCACTAAAGGCAGCGTGGGGCTGTGGCTAAGCACGTCCGCAGATGGCCTGGCTTGAAATCCCTGCTCCACCGTGGGTCCGCTCTGGGGTTTGGGGCAAGACTCCTCCAGTCTCTGAGTCTCTTTTCCCAGTCTGGTGATTGGTCTTAGTCACAGCCCCTCCCACTGGGGCTTGTGTGATGATTAAATAAAATCAACCAGCACAGAGCACTTCACTTAGCGCCTGGTGTTTTCCTAAGTGTTCGGTAAACCTCTGTTGACAGGAAAGACCTTAGGGACCAGGGACCAGGGTCCCTCCGTGATTCCTTAGAATGCATTTTCCTCTATGGCCCTGGAGAGTCTGAATACGGGGGTGTGTTTATAAATGCAGACAACTCGGCTTTACATGCAAATTTTTTTAAAAAGGAAAAAAAAAAAAAAAGGCTCCATAGCATTTCTTCCCTAAATTTAAGAGGATTTTTTTGAGGGGAGGACCTCTTAGCATACAGGGCCCTTCCTGGTGAATTTTTCGTCTGTGAGAGGTGTTGTTTGGATGAAAATTGGCTAATTTGCGGAGCCCACTGCAGAATGAAAATGCAGGGCCCCTTGTTTAAAAATTATTAAGAAAAAAAAATTTTTTTTTAGATTTTATTTATTTTAGAAAGAGAAATAGAGCACAAGCATGAGTTGGGAGAAGGACAAAGGGAGAGGGAGAAGTAGGCTTCCCACATACGGGGCTTGATCCCAGGACCCTGGGATCATGACTTGAACTGAAGGCAGTTGCTTAAATGACTGAGCTACCCAGGCGCCCCTAAAAATTATTAAGACTTTCAAGACGGTGGCAGTGGGGCATTAAGGAGCAGGGCCTTTCAAGTGTGAGGACTTGGACCATGGCCTGGGTTGCGTGCCTGAGAAGCTGGCCCTGCATGGCGGAGGGAGAAGGCTGGCCGTGGGTGGTGCGACCTGGGGGTGAGCCTGCCTTCCCGCCCCATGGAATCAAAAGTGTTTCGGGACTGCTGGAAAAGAAGGGCTCAGGTGACCAGCGGAGAGGCTCGGAACAAGGGAAGGGGCAGGAGCGTGTGGCTTGCCGTCACAGGCGTAGGTGTGATTTGTGATAGGAACACATTTTGATGTGAACCATTTGTCTTCTTACTCTATTTCAGTAGATGTCCCATCGAATATTGCAAAAATCATCATCGGCCCCCTGATCTTTGTCTTTCTCTTCAGTGTTGTGATTGGAAGTATTTACCTGTTCCTGCGGAAGAGGTGGGTACGGCCGTGTGCGGGTAAATGGTTAGACGGGCTCTCCGGGAAAGCAAGCGTGCCTAGATACAGAGCGCGCGCTAGCTCAGTTTATGGTCAGTTTGACTGATGTAAGGGATGGGCGTGGCCTGCAACTTACAGCTAATGATCGTAATACAATTCGTAACACCCGATCATAAATGACCATAAATGCCCTCCTGCTGGTTGATTGTCACCAAATGCTTTGGTTGATTCCCCCCGCCCCTGAAACTTTGTCTCTGTAGCCAGCCTGTGGTTGCGAGTGACGCAGGAACATGGCTCCAGCCTGTTGACTGATACTTTGTTTTCATTAAAGAGGAAGGTAAAAATGAACTAAGATGTGGAGGTTCATCATCAAAGAAGTGACTTTGCTTGGTCAGGTAGTGACTTTTAGATACCGAAGGAACATTTTCTCAAATTTTTTTTTCTGCCATTTGCAAATCGTGGCCACAGAGATGACATCTTTTTTTTTTTTTTTTTTTTAAGATTTACTTATTTTAGAGAGCATGAGCAAGAGAGAGAGGGAGAAAGAGCAGGGGGAGGGTCAGGGGAGACAGAGAATCTCAAGCAGACTTCCTACTGAGTGTGGAGCCCAATGCAGGGCTCGATCCCATGACCCTGAGATCATGACCTGAGCCGAAATCAAGGGTCATCTGCTTCATGGACTGAGTGCCCCCAGGTGCCCCCAGATGACACACTTTGAAGCTTATTCTGCATTGTTAACATTTTTTGCCATCCCTTTCTCAAGCCTGGACAGACAACAGAACAGTAGATCTGGTCTTGGTTTGTAGTGCTTCTGTTTCTTTCTGTGGTGTAAATATTCCTACTGTGGCCAATTTCAAGCTACAGACCTACCACAGATGATAGTAAGAAGCAGTATAATAATTAGGAAGTGGTGAGTTTTGCTTTTAGTATCTTTTTTTTTAAAGATTTTATTTATTTATTTGACAGAGAGAGAGAAAGAGAGAGATCACAAGTAGGCAGAGCAGCAGGCAGAGAGAGAGGGGGAAGCAGGCTCCCTACTGAGCAGAGCCCGATGTGGGGCTCGATCCCAGGACCCTGAGATCATGACCTGAGCCAAAGGCAGAGGCTTAACCCACTGAGCCACCCAGGCGCCCCCAACTTTTAGTATCGTTTTATGTAATCGTCAGCTTGTATCATTTAATTTTGGAGGATGATTATATTAACAGCCTGCTCTCCAGTTTCCCGAAAACTTAGCCATTGTTTCTGGTGAGCTGGGGTGAGAACAGCAAAGGGCGAGTGTCTTTCAGGTGTTAGTAAGGACAACTGTAAATTACAGTTCATGGTCCCATGTTGATGCATATTTAAGTAGCCATCTGATGGGCTTGTACGACACCCCAGACCATATCCAGGGTCACAGGGATGCTGTTGCTAAGGGCCGTCATTGGCATTGGGGAACTTATAAACCCCCCTTCGAGTGACCCAGAGCCCCTTGAGGATATCAAGCTGGAATGTTTTCCTTCTTCTCTTCCAGGCAGCCAGATGGGCCGCTGGGACCGCTGTATGCGTCTTCAAACCCTGAGTACCTCAGTGCCAGTGATGGTGAGTACCATCCCCATACCCCTGGGTGGCCAGAATCCTGCCTTTTGGGGTCCCTGGCCATCAGTGTCAAGTGCAAGTCAGGGGTCGGCACCCAGGGAGGCTGAGCTGAGACCTCTCTTTCACGTGAGCTCGTAGACCTGCCCCTTGCTGCGAGACCCTATTACCGGGAGCAGCCAGGCACCCACTATCTGGCACCTGTTTGGCTAGGCTGATCTAGCTGGGCTCACCCCAGGGGCTCGGCTGGGAGGCTGACAGAGAGTCAGACGTCCCAGCTGTTGGGGGAGTGGGGAGTGGAACCTGGGACCTGCGCCAGAGACTGCGCGGAGGGTCAGAGCCAGAGGGCTGTGCACGCATGGACTTGCTATCCAGGTTGGCAGGTGGGGGTCAGGAGCCAAAATGCGACACGGGGTAAGAGCAGGGAAGACAAGAACGAAGGGTGAAATGGGGTCCACAGGCGGTTGCGTGGGCACGGGGGACGCATCTGCTGCTGGCGGGGGCTGAAGGCGGGTGGGACGCTGATGTCAGCGGCGGCGGGAGCGTTGGACTGACTCCTGGATTTCCCTGGATCGTACTGAAGCGTGCTGGGCGGCTCCTGCAGATGACGCTCTCCTTCCGAGGAGAAAGCGTCTGCCACATTGCGAGTTTCTAAAGGACTTCATGCAGCAGGAATCAGAAAGTGACTTTGGAGGCATGAACGCTGTGGCCGGGGGATCCTGGGGGGGATGTTTGTAAGGACGCCCAGGATGTGTTCTCATCAGGTCTGCTGAGGGAGTGTGGGAGAAGGAAGACAAGAACGTTTATTGTGGTGTGCAAGGCAAGGCAGGGCAGGGTAAGACCAAGGACTTGCTATTTTGAATGATTTGAGTGGGTTCTGGGGTGTGGGGGCTGTCCCTGGGGTGATCGGACCGTCTAGAGAAAAGGGTGAGGCTTTGGCCTCTGGATGGTGGTTTTGCAGGCAGAGGGTACTGTCACAGGCCAGTCATTTAGGGTCTGTAGGGGTTGGACGCCCTTGGGAGGGGCAGTCCCTCCAGGGTCATCGAGGCCCCAGATGCTAAAACGTCAGAGTAGGGAAACTGGAAGAGGGGGTCGTGCTGGGTGGGAACATGTGCAGGGGCCAGGAGCGGGGGGGCGGGGGGGGGGGGGGGACCGCGGATGGAGGAGCTCCCTCTCCCGGCTTGGGGATGGCGTTGTTACTGCACGTTGGAGGTGGGAAAGCTCAGCCTCAGGGCTGCCATCGGACCCCACGGGAGGGGTGAGGCTGGGAAGGCTGCACAGGGCTGCCTCTCCACCCTACTGCCCCGCTTCCTTCAGGGAATGCAGCCATGACCGAGGCCACAAGGGTGTCCCGTGAAAGCTGGAAACTGGAACTCAAGGGTCTCTAAGGCTGGGAAGGCCTGGGCCAAGGGGAACGCCCAGGGAAAGACCCAGGCTCAGAGCCCTGGGGGCAGAGTACCCCCATGGAGCGTGTGTGTGTGTGTGTGTGTGTGTGTGTGCGGGCGCGCGCGTGCTCATCTCCTCCAGTGTCCTTGCCTGGGGCCCTGGTGACCGTATCGATTGCTGGGGCTCCCGGAACAAACACCAGGGACTGGATGGATGGCTTCAGAAACAGAATTTTAGTTCCTTGCGTTTTTGGAAGCTGGGAGTCTGAGATCAAGGTGTCAGCAGGGTTGGTTTCTGCTGAAGCCTCCTTCCTTGGGTTGTGGGTGACTGTCTTCTCCCGGGTCCTCACATGGTCAGCCCTGTGTGCATCTCTGTGTCCGAATGTCCTCTTCTTCCGAGGACACCAGCCACATGGGGTTAGAGCCTCCCCACTGACTTCATTTGAACTTGAATTGCCTCTGGAATGGCCCTGTCTTTAGATACAGTTACATTCTGAGGTACCAGGGCTAGGACGTCAACATAAATTCTGGGGAGGGACACAATTTATCCCCCCCCCTTTGGAGGAAGGCTAGAGCCTTTCTGGCTTTTCTTATGAGGCCTTTGTGCATTTGTCTGCAAATCATTTGCTGCATAACAAACCACCCCAGAGTTAGTGGCTTGAAACAGCGTTCGCAGTTTGGTGGGTCCGCCAGCTGGGATCTGCTAGACTGGCCAGATCTTTTGATCTCACTGGGGCTCCTTTGCACGACTGCAGCCTGCCTGCTGATCTGCTGGCCCTGGATGGCTCACTGGTATTGCCAGCGGTTAGCAGGCTGGGTGGTCTCCCATCCCCTTGGCACTTGGCAGAAAAAACAGCCTCAGATGGGAAGTAGAGTTGTGGGGTGGCAGGGCTCTTAGATCAAACAGAAAGGATGAGGAGGTAGGCCCAGCTCAGCCCAGCTCAGCCCAGCTCGGCCCAGCTCGGCCCAGCTCAGGTCTTACTGGCGGGGAGCCTGGACCAATGGTGGCTCCATCCCAAGCCTCTGCTGTCCCCTCCAGGAAGGGCAGGGACCCACGCCTGTCCTGTTCTTGACTCTGCGCCCAGTGCCTGGTACAAGGCCTAGACCACAGAAGTCCCTTAGTGAACATTCCCCTGGCAGGGTGGGAGGCAGTTCCAGTGGGAGGCGGCTGGGGGCTCCCCAGGGGTCCGCTGAGGACACTGTGTAGATCAATGAGGAGTAGTGTTTCCATGTTCTGTGTATGTGCCGGACGAGTGGGAGGTGCCTCGGGAGAAGATCACTCTCCTGCGGGAGCTGGGGCAGGGCTCCTTTGGCATGGTGTACGAGGGCAACGCCAGGGACATCGTCAAGGGAGAGGCGGAGACCCGCGTGGCGGTGAAGACGGTCAACGAGTCGGCCAGTCTGCGGGAGAGGATCGAGTTTCTCAACGAGGCCTCAGTCATGAAGGGCTTCACCTGTCATCACGTGGTGAGTCTCACATTTGCCCAGAAGCAGTCAGAGACGTCCTTTCGCGCCTGCTCCCCTGTTCCCTTTCCTCTGTCCTTCCTCCTCCTCCTGCCCAGAGCAGAAGGACTCTGGGTATGGACCCCTGCCTGACACCGCTCCGCTAAGCACCGTAAAGGTGTGGAGGAGGCTCCCTCCCTCCTCCCTTCTCAAATCCCATCTTCTCCCACCTTGCATGGAGCTGGACTCATTCCCTTGCTTTCCAGAAACTTCTGTCTCTTCCCTCTTCCTGGTGCCTTTGTGACTCTGAAACACGATAGATGGTTCACCCCATCCCTGCCCCGACTCGAGTCAGCACAGACTCTCCCTGCTCTGCTGTTCCTACGTGGCCCCACAGCTTCTCGTTGAGCCTTGTGACCTTTCTTCCTTGCCATGCATAGCTGAGGGGATCTGCTCTGTGCTGAGCCCGTCTTGTCTCCTGGATGCGGCAGATTCCTGTCCTTTGGGGAGTCCAGGACAGCCATGGAGACAGACCCTAAGCCCAATAAGTTCCTCCTGGAGGTCATTAGGAGCCAGTGCTGTGGCGGGATGGAGCAAGAGAGCAGAATCAGGGGGCTGGGCATTTGGGAGTGGGGAAGGTGTGCTAAGGACGGAGGGACTGGGCCATGTGGACCCGGGAGGGAACAGCAAGTGCAAAGCCTGGGAGGTGGGAACGTGCCTGATTTGCTCCCCCGAGGAGATCTTGAAGGGTCTGCCTTGGAGTGTTGCTGTGTTGGGCATGTCTCTGTGCTCCCCACCCTGCAAGACCGAGAGTCTTGAATTCTTCCTCCCTCCCCTGGTGCCTCTGCCCCCACAAGGCACTGACCCTGGCGTTGGAGCCAGACAGAGCCGGGCTCGCCATGCAAAGTGCTGTGCATGATGTCGATGTCAGACGGGGAGACCTTGGTGATGGCAACCTTCCCTGGGACCCTCACCCAAGATCTTTGCTCCGCAGGTCCGCCTCCTGGGGGTGGTGTCCAAAGGCCAGCCAACGCTGGTGGTGATGGAGCTGATGGCCCACGGAGACCTCAAGAGCTACCTCCGCTCCCTGCGGCCGGAGGCTGAGGTGAGCGGGCTCTGGGGACCCGGCGGGGCACCCGCTCGTGGCCGCAGGCAGCTGGGTCCCTGAACCCGACGCCTTGTTTCGATTTTAGAATAACCCCGGCCGCCCTCCCCCTACCCTGCAAGAGATGATTCAGATGGCGGCGGAGATCGCCGATGGGATGGCCTACCTGAATGCCAAGAAGTTCGTGCACCGGGATCTCGCAGCCCGCAACTGCATGGTGGCCCACGATTTCACCGTCAAAATTGGAGGTGCGTCTGGCCTTCTATTTGGAAGTGTGTGGCCCAGGCCCAGTCTGATTGCAGGAGATGTCTGTCCTGAGCAGGTCAGTCTTTTCCAATAGTACAAAGAGGGCCTGGACCTCGGTCTATAATTTAATTGCACTTGCTCATTTCCTGCTCTGGAGAATAGTGGCGTTCCCCATTGGCGGAAGCCACCACACTGGGAGCCGATAGATGGGACTGATGATCGGTGAGTCACCATGGTTTTTCTGCCCTCACGCAACACCCGGCCCAGCAGCCACTGGCCCCATGTGGCCGTTTACAGCCAAGTCAGCTTAAATTAACTGGAATTAAAAATGTATTCCTTGGGCTGCGCTGGCCACATTGCAAGTGAGCGGTCGCCACCTTGAGACTGGTGGCTGCCATATTGGGCAGAGTGAGCATAGACGACGTTCGTCATCATGGAAAAGTTCTAAAAGTTCTGGACGGGGCTGTTCAAAGATGAACAGTAAAATAGCGCTTGTATAAACAAGAGAAGGAAGACTGGGCATAAGAGGTCTGAAGGAAATAAAGAGTCCATGGTAGAGAGGAGAGAGGAGGCAGGCTTTCGGCCAAATCTTGTGGGATTAGTTGACCTAAATGAATGACAGCCTCCCAGGGGGCTTTCCAGCAGATACAAAGGCCTGACGCTGGAAGCATGGCTGGTGTGGTGTATTAGAAGGAACAGGGAGGGGAGCAGAGCAACATGAGATGGGAGGTTAGGGAGAAAGGCAGGAGCCAGACCTGGAAGGGCTTTATTAATCAGTAAGTCATCTAGCCATTACCCTAAGGAGCCAGTGGGAAGTAGAAGTAACGTGATTCTATTTATGATCCCAAATGACATTATCAACAAGGGAAGCCAGAATATCATCCTATTTATAATCCCAAGAGACCTTATCCTCCATTAGCCATGCGAAGCAAGAAATAATATGACCCTATTTATGGAGCTTCTCTTGGGCATTGGGCTGTCAGGGTTAGGGTGGAGAGAAGGTCCTGCAGGTAAGAGGTGGCAGTGGGGCCAGAGTGATGGGGAGGAAGAGCTGGGTTAGAGCGGATGTGGAAGAAGAACGGGCAGAACATGCCGATGTCTTAGATGTGGGTATGAGGAAAGGGGTGTGGTCAAAAGGGGGCCCAACCCTGGGTCTTGAGCTGGGCAGCAGGGTAGTGGTGGGGCCGTACCTAGTGGAGAAGATCAGGTTGGCTGCAGAGACTCCACGCTTTGGTTTGGGATGCCCGTAAGGTCATGGGTGGGAAGGAAGTGTTGTTGAGAATGGGGTTCCCAAGCTGTGGGCTAAAACATTGCTTCTTGGCCACTTGGTGCTTCCTTTTCCTTCCCTTTACGTGGTGGCCCATCCTTTCCCTCCACATCCCCATGAGTACTCTCAGACTATCATGGGATTTGGCTACCACCCGGGTGAGCACACACCTGGGGCAGGTAAGCCCATCTGAGGGCTCTACCAGGCGTGGGGCAAGAAGGAGACACCTGGACTGTAGGCTGAAGGTTAAGACCACATGACCCCTTTGTTGTCAGACTTTGGGATGACCAGAGACATCTATGAAACGGATTACTACCGGAAAGGAGGCAAGGGTCTGCTCCCTGTGCGGTGGATGGCACCGGAATCCCTGAAGGATGGGGTCTTTACCACTTCTTCTGATATGTGGTGAGTGGTGGATGGATTGGTGGACACAGTGCTGGGCTTGGATCCTGGGGTGTTGCATTAGTGTGACTGGCAAGAGGGGGCCAGTTAAAACCTGCCTTCCTCACAGCCCCTTGATCAAGAAAGCAGAGGAGATGTCATGTTGGAAGGACCCTTGTATGGCCACTTATGTTCAGTTGAGACTAATCTAAGCATTTCTGAATGCAGCATGAATTTGTTTAATTAACTGGCCAACCATGTTCTCGTAAACCGAGGAGGGATGCGTGCGTGTGCGTGCGCGTGCGTGCGCGTGTGTGTGTTAATGGCTTATATGTTACTACTTTGAACTGTCGTTGGCAGGTCCTTTGGCGTGGTCCTTTGGGAAATCACCAGCTTGGCAGAACAGCCTTATCAAGGCCTGTCAAATGAACAGGTGTTGAAATTTGTCATGGATGGAGGGTATCTGGACCAACCCGACAATTGTCCAGAGAGAGTGTAAGTGTAGAAAGACTGGGTGCTGTGTGGGGTCTTCATCAAAAAGGTGTTGCCCTTTGGTTTTGTGTCATATGTCTACATGTGTGTTCATGTTTGCATGTTGTGTCTTCGCACATCATACCTATACACATGCTTGTGTTTGCATGCCATATCTTTGCACAAATGCTTTCTTGCATATTGTGTCTGTGGAAGGTTGTAGAGAAACCGCACAGCATTGGTTACCATGGTTACCATGGGAGAAGGAAATTGGGTAGCTTGGGTGGGATGTTTAACTGTCAGTCCTTTATATACTTAACATTTTGTCAGGGAATGAATACAATCAGACATGTCTGTTATATCGCAACAGAATTGGGGAAAAAAAGACATCAGAAGCAGAAACATTAAAATTATTTTTGGTCAGGGATATGTGTTACTTATTTCCCCACTCCCCCAATTTTTGTTGTAAATTTTGGCCATAGAAAAAAAGGGGGGTACCTGGGTGGCTCAGTCAGTTAAGTGTCTGCCCTCGACTCAGGTTGTGATCCCGGGATCCTGGGATCGAGCCCCACATCGGGCTCCCTGCTCAGCACGGAACCTGCTTCTCCCTGTCCCTCTGCCACTTCCCCTGCTCATGCTCTCTCTCTTGCTCGCTCATGTTCTCTCACAAATAAATAAATAAAATCTTTAAAAGAAACTAAGATAAATTAAAAAATGAAATGACAGTAGCAACTGAAATTTGAGATGATGCCTATAAAATATTTTATAACTCAGTAGATAAGCCTATGTTAAAATATTAAGTATAAAATGTGTGTGTGTGTGTGTGTGTGTATTACATTTCCAGATGTCTTCAGATAGAAAAGGCAAGAGGGTAGATCTGAAGGAGAGTTGTGTGCAGACTGTATTTTCCCTGTGTTTTGGGGTGTTTCCTCTCTACCATGAGATGGTTTACATATGAAGTCCTTTATCAGTGTTTCTTAAGAAAAAAGTTTGCCCTCCTGGAAAATCTAGGGGGAAAGGCCATTCTGAGGTTTCATCCCCCAAAGAATAAGACTGTTAATTTAGAAAACCCAGTTGGAAGGGACCTTATGTGAAAAAGAGTACAAAGCAGAGTTATTTCAAAACTCTGAGCAAAGAATTTCTGAATGTAGCTTCATGAGAGTCCTTTCCTGGTCCTTAGTAGCTGACTGCATAGTTCCAGGACCAGGGAAATTAGGTAGGCCCTAGGGCAGAGGTCCACACACTTTCTAGAAAGTACTGTAAATATTTGGAGCTTTGTGGGCCCTGTGGCTCCCTGTTGCAGCTACTCAACTCTGTTGCATAGACAGAAGGCAGCTGTGAATGGTGTGTAAATGAGGAGGTGTGTCTGTGTGCCAGTAGAACTTGATTTTATTTTTTAATGTAATTTTATTTTTTCAGTGTTCCAAGATTCATTGTTTATGCACCACACACAGTGCTTCATGCAATACGTGCCCTCCTTAATACCAAACACCAGGGTCACCCACCCCCCTACCTCCTCCCCTCCAAAACCCTGTTTGTTTCTCAGAGTCCACAGTCTCTCATGGTTCATCTCCCACTCCGATTTCCCCCAACTCACTTCTCCTCTCCATCTCCCTATGTCCTCAGTGTTATCCTTATGGTCCACAAGTAAGTGAAATCATATGATAATTGACTCTCTCTGCTTGACTTATTTCACTCAGCATAATCTCTTCCAGTCCCATCCATATTGCTACAAAAGTTGGGTATTCATCCTTTCTGATGGAGGCATAATACTCCATAGTGTATATGGACCACATCTTCCTTATCCATTCGTCCATTGAGGGGCATCTTGGGTTCTTTCCACAGTTTGGAGACTGTGGCCATTGCTGCTATGAACACTGGGGTACAGATGGCCCTTCTTTCACTATAAGATAACTGGGAATAAACCTAACCATAGAGGTAAAGGATCTGTACTCGAGGAACTGCAGAACACTCAGTAGAACTTTGTTTACAGAGACACTGCAGAGGACCAGATCAGGTCATCTGGGGAGGGGAAGAGGTAAAATAGAAACCCCGGGCCCTCAGCACCTGCACTGTGCGTGCTTGGCTAAGTCGGGTTGTACGCCCCTGCTAGCACCCTGGACAGCGCCGGCACCACGCCTGCAGGATGGCTGCTCAGAGCTGGGCCCTCTAGGTTCAGTTCCCTCAGCTGTCCCATCAGGCAAGCATCTCAACCCTGAAGGATCTTTGACCCTAGAAAGATTGCTCCTTGGCACAGGGAAGCCCTTCAGGAAGCCCCGGTAGGAATTCAACTTTATGAAATGCACCAAATGGGAGAAAGAAAAAACCAGGAATGTAGAAAATGATCAACCTTGGCCAACAGGTGGGTGCATCGAGAGGTGCGCTTCTTGATCTGGCCTGGGAGTGAGGCAGCCCTTCGGTTCTCTTTCCCAAACCGTTCTCTTCTAAGCACCGGTAGAAATCTCGTTTCTGTCTTGGTCATGGCCTGTGCTGATGTTGGCACTTGTCGCCGTGGGTGTGGGCCGCAGGGGAGGGGGCTGGGGTGGGGACTGCTCGGCCGGATGCCACCGGACGCGTTCCTGACTGTCCCTCTGTCCCACAGCACCGACCTGATGCGTATGTGCTGGCAATTCAATCCCAAGATGCGGCCCACCTTCCTGGAGATCGTCGACCTGCTCAAGGACGACCTGCACCCCAGCTTTCCAGAAGTTTCCTTCTTCCACAGCGAGGAGAACAAGGCGCCTGAGAGCGAGGAGCTGGAGATGGAGTTTGAGGACATGGAGAGTGTCCCTCTGGATCGGGCCTCCCACTCTCAGAGGGAGGAAGCCGGGGGCCGGGATGGAGGGTCCTCCCTGGGCCTAAAGCGGAACTACGAGGAGCACATCCCCTATACCCACATGAATGGGGGCAAGAAAAACGGACGGATTCTGACTCTGCCCAGGTCGAATCCTTCCTAACAGCGCCTGTTTTGGGGGAGGGGTTCCCATCTTCACTTTCCTCGGGTCTGAAGGTCTCCAGAAAACTCAGGATTCTCCTATGAATCTGCCAGTGTCCGACGGAGCTCAGAGATCATAACTATCCATTGCTGTTCATCTGTGACTTAAAAACGTGTTTGATTGCCAATTTGACGAGCTGTCAGAGAATTGAACTGTGACCCTAGAGAAGGGGTTTCCTTGGCTGCTGTCCTTTGTAGGCAACTGTGGTTTTAAGCCAGGATGTTACTATTTTTTCTAGTACATGAGAGCAAGCACCTGTTTTTACAAATCTTTTTTTTTTTTTTTTCCTCCTGGCATCTGAGCTACAGTATAAAACATGAAACTTGTTTGTGGAACAAAAGTTTGAAAGAAAGGAAAAAAAAAAAGCCAACCCTGTCCCAGTAGAATTTCAGGCTTTCCAGAGTGGGCTTCAGGAAGGTGTTTTTTCCTCATCCAGGCTGAAGGATTTTTTTTTCTTCTTCACAAAATCAGTTCCTCAAATTGACCAATAGCTGCTGCTTTTGTACTTCTGATAAGGATCTGCAGTCCCGGCGTGTGTCCGTGCGCGTGTGTGTATGTGTCCAGGCTAGATATGGCTGGCGTGTGTGTGTGCCCGTGTGTGCCCGTGCGTGCGTGCAAAGCATTCATGCCCCGTTGACACTTTGGGGGTCGGCTCATGAAGGTTCTGTCTTCTCGAGCTCCTGATCCTCCCATCTCCTTCCTTCCTTATTTACTGGGAGACTGTGCCCTCCACAGATTCTTCTGCCCCAAGCCTAGTCTCAGGAGTCTCTTCTCCCTTAACTTTGGTGAAAAATGTTTTCCAGGAGCCAAGGGAGTCATTTGGAGTGATAGTGGATCTTTTCAAGACCAAACAAAGCTAGGACAGAAAAAAGAAAAAAAGAAAAAAAGAACTGAGTTGATTAAGGATTTTGAGAATATATTTGTAACATATTTAATTTTTTAAAACTCTCCAACGTCAGCCTCATAAGTTATTAACTGTTTCCCGGGGTCGGGGGGAGGGTTTGTGGGTTGGTCTGCCTGTGTGCAGAGAGGGAGCGAGGCACCAGTGGCTGATTTGTTTGGTCTTAAAGGCATCCACTTTTCTGGGAATAAAGCCACATTAGCTGCTGACCCTTTTGGACATGATGAGGCCACGCTGAGGGTGTGGGCGATTGGGTTTGGTTTCTGCTTGGGAAAGCTGATAGCCACCTGGAGCTGAGTCCTGCCTTCAGACACACTTGTGGCTCTTGGATCTGTTGGTTCCTTGTGTGTACCTCGCATGCTTCCTCAACTGGGTGTGCACATACCACAGCAGAACTAAACCCCAAAGTGCGGCAGCCCAGATGGACTTAGAACACTAAGCAGTATGAAGCGAGATGCACCTGTCGGGCCCCTCCACCCTCAGGGCATCCACCTGTCCTCAGAGTTGACCTCCCAGAAGCTGCTCTGTGCCCAGTGACCTCAGCTGGGCCAGGTGTGGGGCCTGAGCAGAACTCTCAGGTGCTTATGACGTTGCAGTCCCCAAGAGAGTAGAGTCTGGAAGAGAAACTGCTAAGGACCTTCACGCCACCAAGAACTGGATGGGCGTGAATCCAGTTTCTTCCCTTTGGGGAAAGAATCACAGCTGCTCAAATAAACAACACGGTGAACCCATTACTTTGGTTCATCAAAATCATCACCCACGTGTTATCCCTGAGAGCATTTTCTCATGAGTTTTTGACTGCTTCCTTCTCCTCTTCTCTTAAAAGTTGCGGGCTTCAGAATAGGTTAGAGACAATGGCAACCTCTGAACCTTCTCAATTCTTGATTAAGAACACAGGTAGACAAATCCCAATTGCCTATTACTATCTTATTTATATGATTTGAGAAATTATAGCACATGAAATACTTCTGGGGAGCCTCAATGATTGGGTACAAGGAACAAGAGTACAGAAATTATTTTCGCCAAATTTATTTTGTACATATAAGAGGGTCTACGTAAATTAAGAACACATAGATCTAGGTATTTTGTTCTTTTCATAGTAAAATTTGTAGTGGCCGTATACCACACTAGCAACAATTTTCACATTTTTCTAATTCAGAAAGGTTTTCTTATATTAGGAGAAAATTATTTATTTTAATATATAAAAATCACTGTAAAAATCACTTTCATAAAAAATGGAGTGCATGTAAATTTTTATCAAAAATAAACAGGTGAATGTGGGGTAATGATTTTTTTTTTTCCAGCACAGTCTACCTCAGTGTATCATTAGGATGTGGTTCAATAATGGACATCTTTGAGACTTCAGAATTCTGCCTGGATCCAATCTGAATCAGGGAAAATCTGTATCAGCTGATTCCAAATGCCAGGGACCAGTAAGAATTTTGAGGGAGGGAGTTGGGATAAAGTGTGGCTTTCGTGTGAGCATAGATCCTTTTTCTGGCTGATAATCTTCTCTGAATTCAATCCCTCCTCCACTTTGTTTTGGTCCTCCATCCATCGACACCGTGCTCCTAAACATGAACTAAATTTCAAGCCATTGTGATATATCTGATTTGGGGGGTACTGAATTCTGAGCTACCTGCCTTTGGCTAGGAGAGGATACTCTATCTCCTGCTGGGGCAAAGAGAGGCTTTAGAGCAAAGCCAGCACACCCACTGTCCCACTGCATCCCCGTGAACTGAGCACCGAGGTGCCCTGGGTCTCCGTGGCTTGTTCCTACTCCTTTAATGGGAGTTGAACAAATTGCACTTTTGGGGACCTCACATGCAAACACCTGATGTAGCATTTCTATTTTCTAAGTGGAGAGGGGGAATGTTGAGAAATTCCAATCCAGAACCCACCAGCATGCTGAGTTTTTTTTTTTTTTTTTTTTTTTTTTTTTTTTTAAGCAACAAAACCCTGGACCCCCGTGTTTGGTTGACCTCTGGCTGATACTGTTTGAACTTAACGGGGCTTTGAAAAAACCCATTTGTAAGTCTGGGAAGAGCCAGCAGGGCTGTACTTGCCAAACCTCACTGCCCTTAAACTTTCAGACGCTGCCCCCCACACCCCCCCGCCATGGTCTCACCCTTTTGTGCTTACCCTGGAGAGAGACAGTAGATGGGCTCACCTGCACAAATGGGATTTCACCTATTTCCTTTAGTTGCCTCTGCAACTGCAGTGAGAAGAGCAAGCAGCCATTGGGTCACAAGCCTTTTTCATCACATAATGTTGGCTCTAACAACTTTGGTCCTAGGAAGTCATGGTTGCCCTGGGAGGGGCTTTATAGTGATGGTCTATACTGGGGGGCTTGCAGTGATTGGCTATAAAAAAAAAAAAAAAGCAACAAAGCCAGCTTAGGTTGACACTTTTTGCTCTTTGCTTTTAAAGATGTCTCATTATTATTAAAACCTTTTTCGTTAATGTGGCCTAATCCACATAGTAGTTTCTTCTTCCGAGAGGAGAATAGCAAGCACATTACTTTCTCCCAGGACCAGTGATGTCAAACACACTTCTGGAAATGTTTGTATTCTGGGAGCTATCCTTGGTGCTTTCCTGTTATTTCAAGCTAGTTGGGAGAAATGCTGCTGGTTCTCTTGGAGAGATATTGAGCACAATGGAGAAAGTGTGGGAACTGATGCAAGGGTCTGCACATACAATCCTGTGATCATTGGAGACTGCTGCCAGTCAATGGACAATTCTTCCACTATCTCCCACCAGAGCAGACAATCTGCCATAATGTGCTTGTTGGGTTGGGAGGTGTTCATTTGTAGCTGTGACAATAGTGGTCAGTGGGCAGCATTGCCATCAGAGCATGGCCCATGCTAGCCATCTGGGTAGGTGATGGATGTGCTGTAGTCCCAGGGACAATCATTCTTCTACTTCATGATGGGTGAAAGTTTGGTGTTAAATGTCTTTTGGATACCACTTGGTGAGTCCTTGACACCTCAGCCTCTTCAGAAATTATGGTTTTGTTGGGGGGTAGGGAACAGGGAAATGATGATTGTATATAAATGGTGCATGTAGAATGGTGTCCATTTAGAAAGCCTTCCAGAATGTTCTTTAGAATTTTGATTTACACCGAAGGTGAAGCTGAGATGGAAAGAACAAATGCTAATTTGTGCATTTGTTTGAAAGAATGTGATGGACTTTCAGGGGCTACAATTAAAGGTGAATGTTTCCTTAGGGGTCCCCCCAGAAGCAGAGGGAAACATTGACTTTTTGAGCTCATGGTCACCTCATACCAGTCAGGGTCCAGAAACAACCTTCAGCCAAATTCTTATTTGGATGTGGGCCCTAAAAGTCCTTACTAGAAACCAGATTGTGAATCTGAGGCTCTTGGTCTCCTTTGGAAAGAAGGAACAACTTCCAAGATGAGTGTGCGTCTATGCACACATTCGGGAATGGCTTGTTTAGTCTTTCTACTTTGTGTGCCTGGGGGCGGTCTTGGCCCCGCATGTCAGCAGCAGACACTTCCATCTGTTGTCAGCTGCACAGGATCAAATGTGCCTCGGCATATGTGAAAAACAACTCAGAAACACAAAACCCACCAAGAGCTCAATTATTTTTTCAATGTTTTCCTACAAGAGCCAAGTAGCACCGTGTACAGAATATGCCTTTTTTTTTGAATTTTGAAATTGCTCTGCATGTAAAATATGGGATAATTACCTGTTTATATGAAAATTCTAAATAAATTATCCAGTAATAGTCTTGTTTTTTTTTGTGTGTGTGTGTTTGTGGTGTTCAAGCAAGGACCTGTGACCTGTGTGGGATTGTGGCTATAGGGTGGGCTGTGTTAAGGGAACTCTGGAAGTTGTGTGGATCTCTTTTAAGAAGGAACAAACCTATGGGTTCTTCAATGAAGCAGGAGGTTAAATATTGTTATAAACAGGGCTGATGATCTGCTGGTACATACCTGTACAGTTGAGCTGGTGGTTTATATATTAAATTATCCCATACCAGTTGGTAAGTAACTGCTACCCCAAAGACCCCCAGATCTCCCCATGATGCAAGCACTAAGGGCTTCACTCCAGGAATATGAGGGGATCTCCAGGATCTTGTTCCATTTCACCATGCTGAAGACTTATATATTGAATACTTTTAGTGTCATCTTGGCAGCATGGACCTGACCCCAGTGTGGATGGTCAGCGGGGGACCACAGATTGGAAGAGGATTTTGAACAGCTTTGCATGAGCTATACACAGAGTGCGGTGGGTAAGTATAGACTCCCTCCCTTCAGCTCCCTGTGTGACTTTGAATGAGTTACACTACTTCACATGTTAGTCGTTGCTGTGTAACAAACATTCTCAAAACTTTGTGGCTTAAAACAGCAAACATTTATATCTCCTGGTTCTGTGTGTTGGCTCAGTGGATCTTCTTCTGGTCACAGTCTCACTCTATTCATACATCTACCCATCTGTCCATTTTTCTGTCTATCGGTCTGCCCCTGTTTGCCCACAGAACCATCCATCAAGCCATCCTTTTGCCTCTCCTCCCTCCTTCCCTCCCTTCTTCCCTTCCCTTCCTTCCCTAACTTACTTCCTTCTTTCCATCCATCTATTCATTCAACCATCCCATTTGTATACCCATCTGCATATCCATCCATTTATCCATCCACCTGTTTGTCCATCCAGCCATCTATCTGTTCATCTGTTCACACATCTGCCCATCTATCCAAGACTCTGGGCCTTTGCTGAGAAGCTGGCAAGGCTGAGGAAGCAGGGTCATCTTCTGGGCTTTATAGGCCACAATCTTGCAACGAGGAGGAGCTCTGGCTGGGCCCTGGGTTGGAATGGGGATGTGAGTGGTTAAAGTGCTCAGGGTTGGGATCCAGGAAGTATAAGCTTTGGCCCTGACTCGGCCCCAAGTGTGTGCTGCATGACCATAGATGAGACAGTTGTTACCAGCACAGTGCATAAGTGAGAGGAAGCACATGAAAGCTTTGGTATCTCCAAAGTACTCCACAGAATTGGGAAGTGATGCTCTTAACAGAGCTGACCTGATTAGCAGGTGGTCTAGACTATGTATGATGAGGTTCATGTTTTCTAGCTCTTGGTCTCTAACCTCCTTGGATGCTGCTGACCCATCTCCTAGGGCATGGTTTCTACCCCATGAGGCTGACTGTGCTGCCTGAGATTGTGCCCTCTAGGTGACTCACCCAGTCTTACACCTCAAGCCCCTCTAGAAGCCCATGTTGTAATCAGAGCCACGAGTTGCCACTGCAGTAGATGCTGTAGTAGATCTAGTGGGTAGATCTATCAGTGTGGTAGATGTAGTGAGCACTGTGGTGGATTCACTGTAGTTGACACTAGTGTACCATCCAGAATACCTCTCAGAACCCAGGCGCTCGCTCTCCCAGATGTCAGGGGCTGTCATCTGCTGGGGGCTCACAGCTTAGTCCCTCTGCCAGCACTCTCCTAGGCTTAAGGGAGCTGCTTTGCCCAAAGTTATGCCATATCCGATGACTGGTTTTTGTAGGAGTATGAATCTCTGACCCCTGTGCCTGTTAAGGGTTTGTGTCTCCCCAAATCTCCAAAAAATATATGTTCAAATCCTAACCTCCAGTACCTCAGAATGTGGCTTTTATTGGAAATAGGGTGACTGTAGATGGAATTAGTGAGGATGAAATCATGCTGGAGTAGGGTGGGTCCCTGATCTGAAATGACCGGTGTCCTTATAAAAAAGGGAAAGTTGGACACAGGCACACAGGGAGAATGCCATGTGAAGACACAGGCAGAAACTGGGACAACACACCTAAAAGCCAAGGAATGCTAAAGATCTCCAGGGAACATCAGAACCTAGAAGAGAAGCAAGGAACAGATTCTCCCTCACAACTTCAAGAGGACCCAACCCTGCTGACACCTTCATCTTAGACTTCCAGTCCCCAGAACTGTGGGAGAATACATTTCTGTTGTTTAAGCCCACCCCCCGGGGCTGTGGACCTTAAGTACAGCAGCCCTAATACACTAGTGCAGCATGGGACGACTCTGAAGAACAACTCCGAAGTTGGAGTGCTCCGTGTGGGATCAGGTAAGGTTCTGGCTGCTGCTGCACTGCAGTGTGATTTTTCTGTCTGCTCAGACCCACTTCTGTCCCTTACAGATGCTGATCCCAAGTTACCCCTGGTAAGACTCCCCCACGCAAATCAACTAAACCCTTCTCTCTACTCATTGCTGTAAACAAACACTCCAATAGTTAGTGGCTTCAAACAACAAACAGCTGTAATTTCTCACCATTCCAT